GCTGGTTGGGAACACGGGAGTCATATAAGGCATCGCAATTCACTGTGATGCGTCACCAACTGAGCCCGAAACCTAAGATTACGGGTTTGTCAGCACCATGCCTGTGCTCGTTTGTTCACCAAATTGTTGAACGTCTAAAAGGCACAACCCTTTCCTGATCATGAGAAATATCCGCTAAAAACAGGCCCATTGTACGATTCCAACTACTAGTATATTATAAGCATGTGTGTAGGAATCACTATGTGTGAGTAATGATACCAGGTGTTCGCGAAAGACAGCGTATCCTGCCCCACCGGTGGCACCCGTAACAAACAAATGCAAAGGCAAGTCAATCGCTGACCTGCAAAATAAACACGGGGACATATGTTAAAAGTCGAAAGAGGACTGAAATCACTTTCGGCTGAAACGTAACATAACTGAAATATTGTTCAAAGCGGCACTCAACTCAACTCACTTTTCGGCTTTATAATTCTTGACTGCGAGGTAAAACGAGACCACACATGTGCCTTAGATTCTCTACCGACTGACCCATCCGACCGCCTCCGTCTAGTCAACAGAGCGTGGTTCGGTGGTTCGATCCCCGACCACGTTATACCAAAAAGTGTCAATAGATGGTACTTGTTGTTACCCTGCCTGGCATGAAAGGGACAAAATAAGGACTGGTTGGTTCGTAGACAGATTACTTTATCTGAGAGGGGTATCCCTGTAAAACTGCATGGTATAGCGGTGGGCTTGCACAATAAAACTGGCACACACCCAAGCGCGCGCACACACACACACACACACACGCGCGCGCGCTACTATAATAGTGCAGTAATCTTGAACATTAAACCTAATTTCGCCTCGCCTCAACCTCACCCATTCAAGGTATTACGGTAGTCCTGTCACGTGAACTGTATTTCCATGTTTTCCTAACGTTTGATGTTGTATGGATGAGAAAGAGCAATACGGTGGCAAGGCGGTACCCAATGATGACGCTAATGTACCTACGATTGACTGATATATTCATTGTGCCTGTGCTTACTTGTGCTTCACACAAGTCACGGTATGAAATCGGCAGATCAACAACGACACCCTCCATTTTGAGGTGAAATGGGGTTTAACGTCGCGTCCTAGATTATTGCACTTATATAGCGACGTGTATGTACGTGTGTGTGTTTGTGTGGCTGCTTTGTACTAGTCCGGACTGATGCCCATTTATAGTGCTAGCTCACTGAGATACCATGCCGCAGTTTAACATGAATACCCCACTCAGACACAGTATACTGACTCCGAGCCGACCAGTCCTTGTTTTAGCCCCTTAATGCCGAGCGCCAGACAGGGTAGCAACAAGTAACATCTTTTAACGTCTTTTGGTATGACGCGGTCGGGGATCGAACCCCGACCTTCCGCTCTCTAGGCGGACGCTCTACCACTAGACCACGGAGTCGGTCCCCTCCATTTTGAACGGATTACACCAGAAAATAAAATAAACAAGTGCGCGCGTTAAGAGAAACTTTCATAATTTTAGTATAAAAATAGCAGAATATACCACTTACAATGTTCACACTGCATATGTGCGTAATGTACCATCACACCAAAATCTGTACACATTAAACTGGTTATACTTATGATTCACTGTTCACTGCGAAAAATTCAAATTGTTGTTTTGATAATATCACAGTCAAAATACATTTTGGACAAGTATTCTCCATTTAGATAGTTTCTATGTTCACTGCATTGATTTAACTAAATCTTTTGTCTTGATTATCCTTAACGTTGAAATGAGGGACCCGAAAGTCAGCAACCCCACAATACTGTTGAACGGATTTACGCTATGGGTATTGAGTGAGTGAGTGAGTTGGGTTTAACGCCGCTTTTAACAGTATTCCAGTTATATCAGGGCGTGTCACCTTAATGTGGGAGGAAAGCCCGAAGTGATGCAGGTCTCAGACGTTTACCACTTCGGTGAAACCCACAAGCACGGGTATGGTGCTGACAAACCTAGAAACATAATCGGGGCGAACCGGGATTCGAACCCACAATCATAGGTTTCTGGCGTGCCCAAGGGACGCAACTCTGCCGACGAATCGCGGCGCCAAAGACGACTGGGCCACCCGTGACCCACTATGGATATTGAACGAATTACACTCTTAAGTAAATTATTTTAAAATACTTGTTTGAACGTAATTATTTGAATACAATCGAATTCATCCGTATGCGTTCTTGAGAGCGTGGTTATTTCTCTTCTTGCGTACGGATATTTTTAGGGTCTGAATAAAGGGTGGGGTTCCACTGTTTGAATGAATATAAATGTTATGACCTCTCGTCAGAAGAAAGATCATCTTTGAAAAATGATACCCGAACTATTGCACGTGGACCTTGCAATTCCTGTGTGTGCGTGGGTAGGGGTCATTCTTGATATTGACACTTCAGTGAAAGGACGCCAACTCACTCTAAGCCATTAGCAGTGTTGATTTTCATTATCCGCAGTACCACGTACGATCTCTACTGCTGCTTGAATGCAGTATTTGTTATCAGATGCGTCGTCTACAACGTGATGGGCTATCCGCCTGCTTACAACTGGTAGAACTCAGATGTAGCAATATGTTTAACGTGTCTCGTCTGTGATTTGTGGACTTTGGAACAGGTTTCGGCAGGCACAAAATGTTAATGAAGTCCGGGATCGATTAATTAGAAATCAGGCAATAAGAAATTGAGCCCAAAAAGCCAATTTCAAAGTTACTGATATCACTGATAAAGGCAAGGAGACACACATATATATTATAAACTCTTATCTTTATTTCAATTTGATGCAATAGATCCTCATTGGTAAGATCTCCAATGCTGCCTACTTGTAAAACTTGCAAAACCAATTTGTCTCCCACTGTACGTTTGTCTAGAGCTGTGTATTGCATGCATATGGAATGTAGATGTAATTCTAAACTCCGTGCATTTGCTTTCCAGTATCGGGATCAAGAGAATGTCTACCAGTCTTGTGTGGTTTATAAGGTATCGATGCTAAGATGATAGTAGTAGCATTTGAAATCTGTCATTAATGGTTCAATATTACTCTTAAAAAATGAAAAGAAATCGTATTTTGTAGATTTTTCGTTAAAATAATGAGTGAGTTTGATTTTTACGCCGCTTTTAACAATATCCCAGCATTATCACGGCGGGGAACACCAGAAATGGGCTTCACACATTGTATCCATGTCGGGAATCGTACACAGGTCTTCGGCGTAACCAGCGAACGCTTTAACCACCAGGCTACCCGACCGCCCCGTTAAAATAATGAAATCATCGTTCAATGTATAATTCTTTCAATCGCTTAAAATGTAAATGATCTAATTCGTTCAACTCGTATTTAAGGTCTTTCCATCCCAATAGCTACTTCCTGAGAACAAATCGAGTTTTATCGTGTCGACGTGTCTGTTTGAATGAGGTAAAGATGATGTCGAATTTCGGTGAATATTTTGCTCAATTTTAAGGTAACTTAACCTTAAATTACACAGAAATGATAGATATCATCACAGTATACAGTAAAGTTAATATTAATGGTCATGTGTAAGAAATCGTGAACATTACATACCATGCTGTCGACCTAATTGTGTTAATTTAACCTGCATGAGTGTCAAGCAAATTGACACCATTATTATGTAATCCGTTGAAAATGGAGGGTGTTCTCCAAATCTGCCGTTCAGCGATTCACCGTTCTATGCCATGAAGTTACAATGTGTATTAACAGATGAGAGTATTACTCATTATCATCCCCGCCCGCCTCATCACCTCCGTCTCATCATTGGTTCCGAAATACTTACAGAAAATCGCTCTCCCGTGCCCTTCTTTCATTTGGCGAAACACGCCACAAACGTAATCTTGTGAATCGCACCTGTCCATAGATAACGTACACGGATGCCTTAGACAGTTTGTTTGAAAATTAATGCCTATTGCTGCTCTTAAGATCTTTTTCGTCGCTAAATTGTATCACATATATAGTTTATGGTGTGTATATTTTAACAACCGAGGTGATTGCGCAAGCGTGTCATAGACTGGCACATGTTAATGGATATACGACTTGAGAAAGTGTTACAGTTTTGAGTACTGCTCTATGCAGCGACTTAGAAGACATTGAAAAGCTATATAACTGTAAGCAAGTTATTTTTCAACTTCTAGACTGAAGGTATTTTACAGTCGCTTCAAAGATTATGCCATGCCAAGACACGAAGCCTTCCTTTGGAGGGATAGTTTAGCTTAACTCCTCTTATGACAGTGATATTAGTGTGAGGAGCAAGCCCAAAGTGATGCAGGTGATGGCGTTAACCATTTTGGTACTGTGTGGGTTTAAATAGGAGGGATGCTTGGTAACACCAAGTAAACAACCAAGTCAAATTGTAAGTCTTAAATTGGTTGCTTGGTTTGTTGTTTAACGCCGTACTCAGCAATATTCCAGCTGTATGACTGCGGTCTGTAAATAATCGAGTCTGGACCAGACAATCCAGCGATTGATATCATGAGCATCGATCCACGCAATTGGGATCGATGACATGCATCAACCAAGTCAGCGAGCCTTACCACCCGATCCCGTTAGTCGCCTTGTACGTCAAGCATGGATTGCTGAAGACCTATTCTACCCCGGAATCTTCATCGGTCTGTAAGTCTTAAAAGAGCTGAGAGCTAAATTCATAAATTAGAAAATGACAACACACAGACAAGCCCCATGTGTTCTGATATTTTACTTGACTTCATCGCAAACAATTAACACAGTTCACATTAAATCTAATCAAATTCATATCCTGCTGTGTTTGCGAACAAAATGTGTTGTATCTATGCCTGTGGTAAAAGTCGATTAAAGTAGCTCATCGCTCATGCTGTCAACCACTAATTTGCCTGACCAACACTCGATTATTTACAGGCTGCCATGACACAACACAGACTCCTTCATAACTCACTCAGTGTTGGGGCTGCAACTTCAATACTTATTCCGCCAGTTCAAGTTTAAGAAAGAGTGAGTAAAGACATATGTATCAAACTTTATTTTCATGCATTATCGCGGGAGAAAAAGGCCTGAAAAACAATAAAATCAACAACAGCGGTGACGGCATGCAGCAGTGTTTGTCTACAGTAGCCCAGTCTGGCAATACACAGAATCTCCACGTCATCTTCATGTTAAAACAAAACATATATAAATAGTATGCATCGCTAGCACAAAAAAGCTTTTAAAAATTCAGATATGCAATTATTGGTTATTTTTCATTTCATGAAACAGCCATACATCTGATTAACATAATGTGAATTAATCCTGTGAATTCCAGAGTGAACACGATCCAAGGGAGGGAACTCTGGCGTCACTTGGTTATGATGTCACAACCATCTTTGGAAGATGATTTCATTTGGCTACATTCAATGTTATGTTGTAGCCTTTCCTTGTAATGTCTAAAGTTCACAGAAATTGTAGTGCAGGTTACACATTTCAAATGGTATAAATTACTGTCATCAAAAAACAAATCAAATTTCTGAATCTACAATAGCAACATATTCATCAGAAAGCTTTCTGCAACTGAAACTTAATCTAACATGGTCCCTCAAATATTAGTATTCAAGGATTCATAACTATGTGTTTCCTATCTTAGACCATGAGTTTATGTTAGTATATCACCTCTTCGCCTTCAGTAGGAAATGTTGAGAAGATTTTGAATGTACTTGGGGAAGGAATGGAATCTACTACACTGATCTGAGCTGCATCTCACAGCTCGACTGTCTAAACTGTCTCACACTTGTCTAAACTGACTCACACTTGTCTAAACAGTCTCACACTTGTCTAAACTGAGATTCACATTTGTCTTACCTGTTTCTCACAGCTCACTCTGCCAGACAAATACTTTGCACAGCAGTATAACATTGAAAGACTTATGTACACTCCCTGGTTACAGGCAAAAATCAAACTCTCACATTATTTTCACATCTTTTCGACTCTCAGACTATTAGGGAGACACGTGGACTTCAACTTATGTATTGTTTATACACAAAGTTGTGAGGTTACTCGTATCCCTTAATAACGTTAATTAAACTCAGACATAATTTACAATTGTATCTTAGGGAATGGTATGGATATCCTCCGATAAAACATACATGTATAACACCAGTAACATGGAGGAGGGCCAGAATGGGGATGTACCACGATGCATGCAGGTAGCATCCACACTCTACATCGTGCACACCTACATGCATCTCAACTGACACCAGCATATTACACATGTGCTGGAATCTGTTGGGGATATGACTGATCATTGGCATTGGTCAGTCTGAGAATCAAATTTGTTACATTCAGCTCATGTTACCACCTTCCTTGTTATAACACCCCTGCATCGTTATCACATCCCTGCATCGCTATAACATCCCAGCATGGTTATAACACCAATAACACCTCAGGATAGTGGTCATAACATACTGCAATAAGACCCCTTCATCGCTATAACACCCCTGCATTGCAATAAGACCAATGCATCGCTATAACACCCCTGCATCGCAATAAGATCAATGAATCGCTATAACACCCCTGCATCGCAATAAGACCAATGCATCGCTATAACACCCCTGCAAGGTCATAACATCTCCCTATAACACCACATGCATTGCTATAACATCTTGCTGAAACTGCCCTGAATCACTTTAACACCCCTGCTTGATAATAACATCCTGCTAAACACCCCTGCATGACTACATCATCTGGCTATAACACCCCAGCAGCGCAATAACCCACCCCCCACCCCCTGCAACACTACAACATCCTGTGTCACTAAAACACCCTGCACCACAGCACAACCACATCACTAAACAACCCCCTGCATTGCCATTAAATATTTTTGCAATTTAAAGGATGCACTCATAAAATATGAACAGATTCAGCCTCTTGCAGCACACAGAACAAATGAATACACTGCAATATCCGCTTTCTCACATATATATGTAACCATACCAACATCGCCAATACAGCAAGGTTTGCAAGACAGTAATCTGGAGTATCTTATAGCCACAATATCCATCATGCAAAAATAGTTAGGAAAATAGTTACCTAAAATTCATGGAAACTGTGTGAAATGAGATTATTGTGTGCTGCATACTCATCATACACAGCAATATATTATGATACTTCACCGTGATACTCCACCGTGATACTCCACCGTGATACAACACATTGCACTGGCAACAAGGACAGGGGCCTACAGGATTTCACAGGTTTCTTCCATTGGTTCCATCTTCCATAAATACAGCCATATATGCACTGTGCACGTTCAACCATTGTCTATTTGATACATACTGCACAATGCTCTTGTATCTTTACATGTGTTGTGATACATAGTGTACCATTTGTTGAAACAAGTATAATTTACAGTTACTGCATATAAGGGGGTATCCAATCTCACTGAAATAAGATCTTAGTGATCGCTACTGCTACAGGACTTCTGTTACAGGTCACGTCAGAATGACCTTTCATCCGACCAACCAGAGCATTGGTAACGAGACGGTATTGGTCCACCTGGGACCTCCCCCTCAACTTCAGCCATCAAGTACCTAACTTCATGTGGAAAGGCCAATCCCACAATAACCAATATTAACTGACATGGACATCATGTTTTTAATCCATGCTACACTGGCCAGCCCACTTCTTCTGTACCCGCTGTGTTAATACATCTTTTAGCACTGCAACCTTTTACTTGTTATATACCTAATCTTATCTTTAATATATAGTATATACTATAAGGTAGAATGAGAGAGGTTGCCTCCTCTATTCTGACAACGAATGGGTAAAGGCCACCCTGGTAGCTGTACCAATTGCAAACAATGGGGCATCCAGGAGGTGACAGCTTTACCCTGCAGACTATACCCACAACTCACAAAAGCATAAATACATGAGGTTTCAAGTACCTGACCTTACCTCTTAGTTCTTAAATGCATGTTATTCATAATTCTATCAAGGAAATACAAAACTGTTTAAGAAATATAGAAGTGGTCCTTGTCATAACCCAAATGATAAAGTTAGAAATTCACGGGGTCCATGGGTGAAGAAGCACCTCAATGACCCCTTTATTCTCTATCACTGCAAAAATGTCATTCATTTCAAATATCTCAAAATAATTTGTGATAAAGCAATAACTACAAACTTTTCAACATAAGCTGATCCTTAATTTGAAGAATCACAATATTGTTGAGGCAAATAATGCAGCAGTAATGTCATTTCTTGGCTGTGACTGTCACAATCCTGCCGCACAGTCCTGCCCTTATGCCACCCCCGGGGACAACGTAGTCCTGTATGTCCTTGACCCTCTCGGGGTCGATCTCGCGCAGATTGGCGTTACTGGCGAGGAGATCATCCAGGGGCCAAATGCCAGGGTACTTGCTCTTGCCCTGGTGTCCGTACACGTGCACGATCTTGCAGGACTTGACGATCTGATGCTGCACCACCACCAGCTGCCGGGGGTCCTTGCAGTGGTACAAGTTGGGCACCTCCGGGTCCGGGGGCAGGTAGTCCTTCAGGGTCTTCTCAAGGGCCTTGTCCAGCACCACGAAGAATCCTGCAACATATTGGTGGTCAGTTGCAGCAGTAACTTGTAGATATGTGAACTGTGAACAGTTATGATCCTGACCTTGACTGGGGGGGGGGGACCTATGCTCCACTGTCACATGGCCCTGGTATGGGTCTCGTCTTGTCTGCCATGTGTGCAACTGAGACAGAGAGACAGATTGATCAATATCAATATTATCAATATAGCTCATAGAGAATGATAATCGATAATATCGATCAATTATCAATATATATCGGAGAAGTAACTTTGAGCAAATATGAACAAGCTTAGTGACAACACAACATATTTCACGTCACTGGTGAGTGGCTATACATGTATGTATAGATTACTTTCTGGACATTTAAGATGTAACAAAATCAGTTGCTTTCCATCTTTAGCAATGGACAAAAACAAGTCTGCTTTGGTAACTAAAAACCTTATCACAATAGTTTAAGTAAGATATTATCGATGACACAATTTTCTCAATTCCAATTATCAATCTTTTCAGCCAGCCCTATTGAGTAGTGAGTGAGTGAGTGAGTTGGGTTTAACGCCACTTTTAACAGTATTCCAGTTATATCACGGTGTGTCAGCTTAATGTGGGAGGAAAGCCCGAAGTCATGCAGGTCTCAGACGTTTACCACTTCTGTGAAATCCACGAGCACGGGTATGGTGCTGACAAATCTAGAAACATAATCGGGGCGAACCAGGATTCAAACCCACAATCATAGGTTTCTGACATGCCCAAGGGACGCAACTCTGCACAGCGAATTGCGGCGCCTTAGACGACTGGGCCACCCGTGCCCCCCCCTATTGAGTAGACAAGAAGTGAATTACTTGCTTGGCTACCTTGAATACCTAAAGGGAGAGAGTAACCATATGGTAAAAACATTTGTTTGTTTGTTGTTTAATGCCGTCATATGACAGCAGCCTGTAAATAATCAAATCTGGACTAGACAATCCAGTGACTGATATTGTGAGCAACAATGACACGCAATCAACCAAGTCATCATGTCTGACCCCCCTGGGATCCATAAAGTCGCCTCTAACAACCATCATAAGTTGATTGGGACCTGGAATCCCCACAGGGTTGGTCAAAACAAGTAACCATGGCAAGCAAACATGAGTGTCGGGTATATCCAATAGGGTAGACACCTGATTATCTCCCCTTAAACAGGACAAGGATCAAGGGTGAACATGAACTGACAACAACCAATCCAACTGACATGACTTACTTGACTGGCCTAACTTACTTGACTGGCCTAACTTACATGACTAGCCTAACTTACATGACTGGCCTAACTTACATGACTTGCCTGACTAACATGATTGACCTGACTTACATGACTAGCATAACTTACATGACTTGCCTAACTGACATGACTGGCCTAACTTACATGACTAGCCTAACTTACATGACTTGCCTAACTTACATGACTGGCCTAACTTACATGACTAGCCTAACTTACTTGACTGGCCTAACTTACTTGACTGGCCTAACTTACATGACTAGCCTAACTTACATGACTTGCCTAACTTACTTGACTGGCCTGACTTACATGACTTGCCTGACTTACTTGACTGGCCTAACTTACATGACTTGCCTGACTTACATGACTTGCCTGACTTACATGACTTGCCTGACTTACATGACTTGCCTGACTTACATGACTGGCCTAACTTACATGACTGGACTAACTTACTTGACTGGCCTAACTTACATGACTTGCCTAACTTACATGACTTGCCTGACTTACATGACTGGCCTAACTTACATGACTTGCCTGACTTACATGACTGGCCTAACTTACTTGACTGGCCTAACTGACATGACTTGCCTGACTAACATGACTGGCATAACTTACATGACTGGCCTAACTTACATGACTTGGCTGACTTACATGACTGACCAAACTTACTTGACTGGCCTGACTTACATGACTGGCCTAACTTACTTGACTAGCATAACTTACATGACTGGCCTAACTTACATGACTGGCCTGACTTACATGACTGGCCTAACTTACAGGACTTGCCTGACTTACATGACTTGCCTAACTAACTTGACTGGCCTAAATTACTTGACTGGCCTAACTTACATGACTGGCATAACTTACATGACTTGCCTAACTTACCTGACTGGACTAACTTACTTGACTTGCCTGACTTACATGACTTGCCTAACTTACATGACTTGCCTAACTTACATGACTTGCCTGACTTACATGACTTGCCTAACTTACATGACTTGCCTAACTTACATGACTGGCCTAACTAACTTGACTGGCCTGACTTACATGACTTGCCTAACTTACATGACTTGCCTAACTTACTTGACTGGCCTAACTTATATGACTTGCCTGACTTACATGACTGGCCTAACTTACATGACTGGCCTAACTTACACTACTGGCCTAACTTACATGACTGGCCTAACTTACATGACTTGCCTGACTTACATGACTTGCCTGACTTACATGACTGGCCTGACTTACATGACTGGCCTGACTTACATGACTGGCCTAACTTACATGACTTGCCTGACTTACATGACTGGCCGACCTACTTGTAGGTGATGACTTACATGACTGGCCTGACCTACTTGTAGGTGATGACTTACAAGGCACTTGTGAAAGCACTTCTCAGATATATGCATGGGAAGTTCTATAAAGCCTTCTCTAGCAACCTCTCTGACAATTACAATGTATAGGGTTAACATAATGTCAAAGCAACTATTTTTGACAAAGAATACTAACCAAGACATGGGAAAACTATGCTGATTGCTTCCACTTAAAAATACTTTGTCATAACATACATACATGTAGTCATAACATTAATACTGTGCCTCTCTTTACCTTCTTTCCGCCTATTCTATATATTGTAATTGGATGTTATAAACACTCTAGAGAGGTACCCAGCCCATTTCACTACAATGGATATAATATGTTTTACTTATTATACAGACGTCTCAACTCACGGACGCGCTTACCAGGGACCACTTACTGTTAGATTCAGCACAGGCTTGACACCCGTATTTGTGTTTAGTGCCATTTAATGCTTACTTGAGGCACCTGGTTGCCCTTCATGGACACTGACTGACCTGTGATAAGGGCCCAGTGAGCCTTGTGACCTTTCTTCAGACAGGGGTAGTGATTCTTGTCAGCATCATAACTTCACAGGTCAAGGCAAACCAAGGTAGGCAGACACATCTCTCACTCATGTTCAGCTACTGCCTTTCAATGAAGACAGGAAGACAAAATCATTCATACCCATACGTAGATCACTAGGGAGCGGGGGTGCACCAGAGGGGTGTGCCAGGGTGCACTAGGGAGTGGAGTGCAGGGGTGCACTAGGGAGTAGGGGTGCAGGGGTGCACTAGAGAGTGGAGTGCAGGGGTTCACTAGGGAGTGGGGTGCAGGGGTGCACTAGGGAGTGGGGGTGCAGGGCTGCACTAGGGAGTTGGGTGCAGGGGTGCACTAGGGAGTGGGGTGCAGGGGTGCACTAGGGAGTGGGGGTGCAGGGCTGCACTAGGGAGTTGGGTGCAGGGGTGCACTAGGGAGTGGGGGTGCAGGAGTGCACTAGGGAGTGGGGTGCAGGGGTGCACTAGGGAGTGGGGGTGCAGGGCTACACTAGGGAGTTGGGGTGCAGGGCTGCACTAGGGAGTTGAGGTGCAGGAGTGCACTAGGGAGTGGGGGTGCACCAGAGGGGGGTGCCAGGGTGCACTAGGGAGTGGGGGTGCACTAGGGAGGTTTTTTCTTAAAAACTACCAGTCACTTTATACTTTTTCAAGTGGAGTCTAATTTTGCTATCTTTGTAAAGTAGTCCCCCTAGCTTGTGAGTAAGGATACGGCACCAGCAGCAGCGACCCCCGCAGCATCTTCCACACCACAGCGCCACGCCCCTCCGTCATCTCCAGCTGCTCAGCATCACACCTCAGCATGTCCCGAGCTAGATGGATCACCCAGTCCGCTAAAATATAAACACCACAAAACCTGTGTCATCGCCTAGATGTAAACTGTAGTCAGTTAGGTAATATTTTGACTTCAAATAAGTACATAAAGACGAAAAGATACGATTATTTTACCTTACTTGTTATAAAAAAACATGAAGAGAGTATGTCATGTTCATTATTATTTCCAGAAGTATATACAGTTATTTGGCTGTAATGAATTAATGATAAGATTTTCATCTGCACGTCTCACTTAAAAAACACCCAGACTTAAATCTGAATCATTTTAGTGTAACCCAAGTACCTACAGTTCACAATAATCCTCTTTCTTTACATGATTTAGTAAACCGTATTCAAAGTCCTTCTAAACATTCAAACTTCATGTACACAGATACCTTGTACAGTTGTTTTAAACATACAAGATAAGACTATTGAGAGATACACAGCCTCAAGCCTCACATCTTTTTATACTTTTTATTTGACATTATTTGTTGTTTAACGCCACACTCAGCAATATTCCAGCTATATGACGGCAGTCTGTAAGTGATCAAGTTTGGACCAGACAATCCAGTGATTGACAACATGAGCATCGATCCACGCAATTGGGATATGATGACATGAATCTACTAAGTCAGCAAGCCTGGCCTACCGATCCCGTTAGTTGAATCTTACGACAAGCACAGTCGCCTCAAATCTTTTTATACATATGGATAAAATCTAAAAATCCATGTAAGGTGGAGGAGTGAATGTTATTTTAGTCTTTCAATTGTAAAACCAACAGACTTTAAGTCATATCTCCAGATCCAAGGCTTTCTGTATCTGAGGAACACACCAAACCAAACAGTGACAAAATATTTATAGGCCATTGCACGTAAAAGTCAAATAAATTTGGAATGCAAAATTGATTTTCAGGCAATAGATGCTCACTAGCAACAAATCATATATTCTTCCATGTAAAGCTAAAACAAACAATATGATCTCAGCATGCTTCACCTACAATGTAACACAGTTCACACTTTAAATGCCAGACATCCACATTTAGATAACTTAAAGAAGTAACCTCTCTTCAAATGCTCTACAATTGCCAATTTTCAATGACTCACCCGAAAATAGTTCTCCTTGGTGAGAGTATTTTTTACTCTTGCTTTTCTCCAAGATACTTTCTGCTGAAACATCCTGTTTAGAGAGGAGGTGGGCAGCCATTGCCAGTGCCACCATCCCGCATCTGGGAGATAAAAGGGCAGAGGTCAGCTTTAATACTTAACTAACCATGACATGTGATAACATTAAACACATGTTCTTGTGTGCATTCGAGACATATTTATTCCCCAATGTTTGGAATGAATTTCAATATGTTTATGTTTACTGTTTTTATTACTGTTTTTTCAACATCCAACTTATCACATGCTCCTATGACGAATTCCCATGAAATTCCTCGACATTAAAGATAAGAGTAATAATTTGGCTTACTGGTGAAAATATTTGGACACTTTACACAAACTGCAAATCTGCAAGTTATTATTGGTAAAAAGTGATGCACATGTTAAAGACAACAGATCAGAGATCCAAATCTAGACTAGTGAAACTCAGGAAGGGCCATTTCATTGTGGACTACCACTTCTACCAACAGGGAGATGGCAACTCTGCAACAGATCAATTATTGGGGACAAGTGAAAATATATTCTTTTCGAACCCTGCCGATATGAGTTACTTCCCTTGAATAAACAAAAGCCCATCCATGAACATAAGACTGGAGATTTATTGTTACAGTATACGTTTCTGTGTTTTTCTCAATTAGGATTTTCTAAATTGTATACATCACCACAACATACTATCTGAAACATTTCGACTGAAACTTGCAGATAATCAAGCAAGTGAAGCAGATAAAGAATTGAGTTTTCAGGGCAACACATCCATGAGACTTTTTTCAACAAAGAAATTCTTTATGTGATAATCAAACTGGGCATTTACATCTCCTAAACTGAGAGTCAAGGCACCATTCATTAATCTTAGAGGCTGGTGTAGAGACAGTTTCATCTATGAGAGTTAAAATAGGGGATCCTCCCCACGTGCATGGCAACTTATAGTTTGTTGAAAGTACACCATTGTTCTCAATACTTCACCACAAGATACACACACACATACACACGACACACAAAACCTGCTTTTTTCTTTCAAAAACTCTCACCCTTAATCTGTCATATTTATTCTGATCACCTTTAATATATCATATAAATTACAAGTAGGTTAGAATGGCAATATTTCAACTGAAGCAATGCAATTCTGCAACAGCCATCAAACAGTTCCAGGACCAAAATATACCAGTTACCTCAACAGTAGAATGACAACAATATTTTCTTGCTCCCCCCATCCCCTCCCCAATTTTGTAATCTATTGTCCCTCTCAACTCTCCCCAGCCCTACAGTTAACTGAATGGTCCGTCAAGGCATGCTACTCACAGCGGCCCCTTCTGTATCATCGGCTGCACGGGGCGGTACAACGACAGGTAACACTGCCCCTCCAGGTACTTGGCAATTCTGAAGAGAAAGTACATATGGTTATCCCTGACATGTGACGTACCATCCATCCCAGTAGGGTATGACACCATCCACCCCATCAGGGTGTGACAGCATCCACCCATCAGGGCATGACACCATCCACCCATCAGGGCATGACACCATCCACCCCATCAGGGTGTGACAGCATCCACCCATCAGGGCATGACACCATCCACCCATCAGGGCATGACACCATCCACCCATCAGGGCATGACACCATCCACCCCATCAGGGTGTGACACCATCCACCCTATCAGGGCACGACACCATCCACCCATCAGGGCATGACCCCATCAGGGTATGACACCATCCACCCATCAGGGCATGACCCCATCATGGTGTGACACCATCCACCCTATCAGGGCATGACACCATCCACCCCATCAGGGCATGACACCATCCACCCATCAGGGTGTGACACCATCCACCCATCAGGGCATGACACCATCCACCCATCAGGGCATGACACCATCCACCCATCAGGGCATGACCCCATCCACCCATCAGGGTATGACACCATCCACCCATCAGGGTGTGACACCATCCACCCATCAGGGCATGACCCCATCCACCCATCAGGGCATGACACCATCCACCCATCAGGGCATGACCCCATCAGGGTGTGACACCATCCACCCTATCAGGGCATGACACCATCCACCCATCAGGGCATGACACCATCCACCCATCAGGGTGTGACACCATCCACCCATCAGGGCATGACACCATCCACCCATCAGGGTGTGACACCATCCACCCATCAGGGCATGACCCCATCATGGTGTGACACCATCCACCCATCAGGGCATGACACCATCCACCCCATCAGGGTGTGACACCATCCACCCTATCAGGGCATGACACCATCCACCCATCATGGTGTGACACCATCCATCCCATCAGGGCATGACCCAATCATGGTGTGACACCACCCAACCTATCAGGGCATGACACCATCCACCCATCAGGGCATGACACCATCCACCCATCAGGGCATGACACCATCCACCCATCAGGGCATGACCCCATCAGGGCATGACCCCATCAGGGTGTGACACCATCCACCCATCAGGGCATGACCCCATGAGGGTGTGACACCATCCACCCTATCAGGGCATGACACCATTCACCCATCAGGGTGTGACACCATCCACCCCATCAGGGTATGACACCATCCACCCTTCAGGGCATGACCCCATCAGGGTGTGACACCATCCACCCATAGGGGCATGACACCATCCACCAATCAGGGCATGACACATCCACCCATCAGGGTATGACACCATCCACCCCATCAGGGCATGACACATCCACCCATCAGGGTATGACACCATCCACCCATCAGGGCATGACACCATCCACCCATCAGGGCATGACAGCATCCACCCATCAGGGAATGACACCATCCACCCATCAGGGTATGACACCATCCACCCATCAGGGCATGACAGCATCAGTGTTTGACAACATCCACCCATCAGGGCATGACACCATCCACCCCATCAGGGCATGACACCATCCACCCATCAGGGCATGACACCATCCACCCCATCAGGGCATGACACCATCCACCCATCAGGGCATGACACCATCCACCCCATCAGGGCATGACACCATCCACCCATCAGGGCATGACACCATCCACCCATCAGGGCATGACACCATCCACCCCATCAGGGCATGACACCATCCACCCATCAGGGCATGACACCATCCACCCCATCAGGGCATGACACCATCCACCCCATCAGGGCATGACACCATCCACCCATCAGGGTGTGACACCATCCACCCATCAGGGCATGACACCATCCACCCCATCAGGGCATGACACCATCAACCCCATCAGGGCATGACACCATCCAACCATCAGGGTGTGACACCATCCACCCATCAGGGCATGACCCCATCAGTGTGTGACACCATCCACCCATCAGGGCATGACCCCATCAGTGTGTGACACCATCCACCCATCAGGGCATGACACCATCCACCCATCAGGGTGTGACACCTTCCACATAAGTCTGAAGCCTGAATCTAGTAAACTTTTGTTCGGTCTAGTATGCTAAGCCGTAGTCATATAATATGTAATAATTGCTATAAACCTACTCTAAATTATGCCCTGAGAGAAGTTTTGCCTAGGAGATTCACAAGCATTAACTGTTGCATAATCACCTAGTGTTTCAGGCAACACTGACCCAACAATTATGGGTCGGGAGGTAGTTTTTGTTTTACTTGATATTCACAAGTGAAACAATGTATCAGTCGGGTTACCTGTAACACAATTGGTTGGATGGTTATCAATTTTGAACCTCGAGTCATCATCATGATTATGACATGTTCAACTTAACGTTCCTACATGTAGCTTTGACTGTAAGACGGGTATACACAGGTAGCATGTACAAGTTTATTACTGAGTTTCTCCAAACCATGAGCATACATGTTCTTTTATTTCCTCCACATAAATGTTCAATCTTTCAAAATCCATCTCAATCTAAAATATTTAATGAATGGTTCTCCAGGCACAGCCTTCTCTATAGATGACTGAAATAATGAGTACAACATTCCTAAGGGATGATCACCCGTATTTGAGCAAATATGGAGAAGGATTGTAGTCGCACCTTAACTACTGCTGTTGTTTTGAGTTTTCATGGGCATTAGGTGGGTGGGTGGGTGAAGGTGACATCACAGGCAGCTTGGCACTGGATCAAGCCTTGCACGCAGCACCTGATGCTGCTACAGGATGGGCCAGGCTTTGCTGGGACTTCATGGTGAGTCATGGCCTGGATAACCATCTCATGATGCAATGTTTTGTGGTCTGACTGTTTTAAATAAACTTCTAGGAATGTACATGTTTCATAAATAGTGAGACCTTATACAAGAATCTACGTTTGTGACAAACACGCTTACAACAAACTGACGGATATAACAAACTGTTTTGTCCCAGACATATAGTGTAAGCTGTATTTAAGAAATATACGACTCATGGTCACTGTCAATTTTTCAATAAAACACTGCATGGAGAAAAAAACATGAGGGGCAAAACCATATCATATATCAACATTAAGTGCAGCCTCTTTAAAGGGCAAGTTCACACGGAAATGAACCAATTTTTCTTGTACTTTTTCCACATTAAAAGTGTTAACATAGACATGATAGAAGTGTCATAGACAAAAATATAAAAACATCATACTTAATTAACATATTTTTTGCATTAAAACGATTTATATTTTTCACATTTACCAAGTGTTCTATTTCCATAACAAAAACACCATGAGTTATGCCCCTTGCAATATGACGTCATTGGTGCCAATTGATAAACATTATGACGTCATCATGCTTTGTTAGAGCCGCTTCACGTGGTGTAGGTACAGTTTTGTGATTCTAGCGTCTCAGATGCCAGCCAGAATTGTGTTATGCTGAGTCACTACTGCGCCGGAGTGTGTCGTAGGCCATGTTGTTTTACCGAAAACTTGTACTTGATATCTTTTGCGTTCAGAATAGACAGGGACCCAGTTGAATTGGCACCAATTACGTCATAATCTAAGGGGGATAACTCAGGCCTGTTTAGCTCGAAAAACGAAGGCCTCATAACGGCATATCATTTTCACACTATTGTGAGCTTCCTACTTTCACTGTGAAAAAAATGAGTTTACATTTTCAAACACAGATATTAACTAATTCTAAAATTGCGTTTTGTTTACAAAAAGAAAGAAAGTGATTTTTGCGTGTACACTTCCCCTTTAAGGATGTTGATAAAATGTTCCAGCTTCCAAAATAGTTACCTTACTTTTAATAAGGTTGACTCCCTGAAAAGAATCTGACCTTGGAAATATCAGACAAGTTCATTTTAAGAACTGGAAGGTTAAGTTTGGTATTTCCCGCATATTCTCACAATCCTCGATTATCTGTACCTTTTCTCCCAATACCCATTGTCATAATTATCTCTCCCACTTCTGTATGCGATCGTTCGGCCAGTGTTCATCTGCGTTGCCTAGCTACATCTATGGGGAACAACTCTCTAGAACACTACCCTCTCGAAAATAGCGTTGTCCAATACATGACAGCATCAAGTTGTGAGCACATGTTCGAATCTTCAAAATGTTTTATCATGAAATATACCACATTTTGTTTTTCATTGTTCTTTGTGGTTTATCGTGTATATATATATGCTTCTAACAAACTATGGTTATCACAAACAAAATTAGTCGTCCCTTTCAGTTAGTTAACTGTAAAAGAATGGCACATGCTAAAAACATTGACACATTAATACATTGATAAACAGATTGTGATCTGTCACAGGTTTGATCATGCTGGTATATCCATTATTGATTTCCTGCCGAGCTAAACATAACCAAACCTAGTTGTCCAGACTTTTGAAGCATCAAATGATACACAAAGAACTAGCCAAACACAAATCAAAAACTTATATTTATCAGTTGACGCCCCAAACAGAGCCACAATAACTGACCAATCATATTGTCACACAATGTTGCTGTAGTGAGTTAAAGGCATATGCTTCATTTCAGGAGATAAACATAAGCTGGAAGTTTCAGATGTTGATATGTCAGCACCTCCAATACTCAATAACACTCCCATATCTAAAAACAATGATGTTTATCGATGGTGTAAACTAGAAAAGTTGTCGGTAATTGTCTGTATCACTGTCTCTCTAAGTGAACTCTCAAAGCTGTAAGTCCAAAATGACATCACTCTGGAATGCATGACACAATGGACAATGTTGTAATATGCTTCCATGACAACTGAACAGCCAAGCCGAGAAAGAACTAAATCAAAGTTTGCTCTGATAAATATTGATCAATATTCAGGCTGGGACAGGTAGCTCTGGTACTCGAGTCAATTCTGTGCTAAGTAGGACCCGTGTTCTCACGGGACTACCTGGACCCGTGTTCTCACGGGACTACCTGGACCCGAGTTCTCACGGGACTACCTGGACCCGCGTTCTCACGGGACTACCTGGACCCGCGTTCTCACGGGACTACCTGGACCCGTAGTTAGTCACATTAGATATCATCTAACAACAATAACAATATAACTCCATTGTTAAACTACAATTCGCTAAAGTTCTCATTTCTATGCAAACATTCGTTCTGACTGTTATCATGGTTATATGTTTGAGAAAAGATAAAGCTTCAGTCAACTTCAGTGTATGCATGATCAGATCGTTTTATATGTATGTGTATCTGAAGAGTTATTGCCAGGGCTTCAGTAAAACTGGGTAGGGTCGGGTAATAGGGAGTTGGGTACCCAGTAGGGCTGGGACGAGTCCAAATTTACTACCCGGGTCCCCACCCCTCTATTACCCGACCCTTCCCGGGTACCCGATGTAGGTCTCAAGAGGTAGGTACATACTGCCCGACTGGGAAAAGTTTGACGGTAGCTCTGGTAAAAATGTGATTAGATACATGTATGAAACGATCTGGTGTATACACTGAAGTTGACTGAAGGTTTTTTTGAACACATAAAAGTCAGAAGGAATGGGCGTAGTGGTCAGGAAGTACTGCAAACATTAGTGACTTGTAGTTTAAACACAGTTTTAGATAATTTTTGTCATCAAACAATATATCATGTGACTAACCACGGGTCCGGGTAGTCCTGTGGGTCCTACTCAGTACCCACCCGACCCGAGTACCCGAGTTACCCGTCCCAGCCCTAGTACCCTGGTAGTATATTTGGACCCGTCCCAGCCCTAATTAACATATCATTAATGCGGTTTCCATTTTGCCAAGCTGAATACAATGGTTTTTTTTCTTATTTTGGATTAAGATGAAAACATAAATTGAATTGTTTGATAGGCATTACTTAGAAGTTGATGGATGACAAAGTAGATACAATTTATGGATAACAACTTCTTTAATACTGTAAAGGTGACGTTTTGGTATAGATCCTTATACCGTTGTCAAGCAAGCAACTTAAATTATCAAGTAAAAAGTAAGAAGTTCAGAAAACACCTTGTTCCAATCCCACCAAACAGATTGCAGCACACATTCCAATTCATTTAACAATGCACACTGTTGTTATCATATTTCATATTAGATGTATGAATAATTTTGTTCAGCGGTATTTAAATAAGCAATTTATGTGTACCTATCTACTTTCACACTCTTTGGAAATAAATATGTCATCACAATTTTCCAGTTAAGTAGAGCCTACTTGACGCACGAGTTGTATCAACACACTATTAACTTCTAAACTGCCGTGTTTTTCATCATTACTAACACATTATTCGCTAACAGAAAAAAATATAACATGACATAAGAAAGAAAGGAGGCCAAGAAAGAAATACTCGTTTCAGGTAACATGGACAAGTATGGATCGGTAGGTTGGTAGTTTTTTCACTTAATATTTTCTTAATTAAGCTTAACACAGATGTCTTGTTTAGAACTGATCTTAGTTGCAATGTTTCTTAAATTTGTAAATCAAAATAGCTACAGCAACTAAAATACACATACACACAAAAAAATCAAAATGTCAACATGGTCAAGTATGGGTTTCTTTACGCCTGTTTCCAGGTGTGATAAAAAGTTGCAAGTGAAACAGTGGGTCATTTGTGCTGCCTGAAACACAAGTAATATGATTGTGGCCTTAGTTATAATACTATCTTCATTGGCAGGACATCATACTGATCCCATTGTGATGGTAACGTGTACCTGCAGGGGAGTGTTGCCTTGATTCTGCAGAGGAGCCTAGCATGGTAGGATCTCCCTCCACATTGAGGTGTTAACTGACAGCACCAGTCACCTTGAATTGTTTGTGCACCAAGGTGAGTCTAGTTCTCCAGAGCATCTCCTGACACAGGGATAATGCATTAAACCTGGCTCAATACAACCTTGCCTTGGTGAAATACAGTCAGTGGTAAAAACATTACAAGTATTCTGCGAATAAAATGGTGAACGATATCAGATTATCATGCACAGAAAAAGGCCTTCTTGTTAAAACTACTTACCGTACCCATAAGCTATTGTGTACAACATTTGATACTACCAGCCAGAACTTGGATCTTGGCATTAATTTCAAAGATTTTAGCCTTATTATATGGACTAGCTGACAAGACCGAACAAAATTTTACTAGACTGGCACTTAGGACTAGTGACCAAAGTCACAGACAGCATGTATGTATGCTCATGGCAAGCATTGCGTCAGACCGACATTGGGTCATTTACTCCAGAAAGAACTATCAGGATTCCAATTTCTGAGCAACATTGGTCCTGATACCTGGCAAGTTGTCCATATTCCGGTTCACAAAACCTCCTAAAAGTCTAATTGTTGCTAATCATGTGATAAAGAACATGCCATCCGTACAAGATGGCCTCCATTCTGTAGCAGACATTCTGACTCCCAATCGGGGAATGAAGACTTCAAAACTTTAATACTGAGTTGTTGCCATGATAAACAGAACTGAGGGGACATATTTCTCTAAGCCACTCCATGATGAATTTGACAGTAGCCAGTTTTTGTCCTCTAGGGTGTCCTTTGTCACATGACCACTGAATGAAGTAAGAAATCCAGCTTTAGTTTCACAGTAACTTGACTCAAAACTTACAACTCTCAATCTGGAGAAATCAGATAATGGAAAATGTTTTCAGAGTTGATGAAAATACTTTCTGGGTTTGATTGTTTAATATCCATTCCTAGTTAACCTGACAGTGTATAGCAGTGTATAGATGTTAGAAATGTCTTACGTGTTGGGATGATTGAGGAAGTTGTGGTAGGCCTCCCTTCCCAGGTGTTCAGGCGACTGGCAGACATGGTCCGAGCACACGATGGCCCCTGGCTCCTCCGCCTCAGGCGCCACCCTCAGTGGGGGAGGAGGCGGCGGGGGTGGGGGAGGGGGCGCTGGCGGAGTCTCACATCCTTTCATAGTAAGGGGTCAGGCATTCATCTGCAATAAGAACAGATCAATTAACTTTGACTTTAACAGTACATTCACGTCATATAATGATTTGAAACCTCTAAATAATTTGAAACTTACCATGTTAGCATTTTGTTTTAGCAGATGTTATGAGTGATGTGTCATTGCTTGAAAATGTTGACAATAAGTCTCGCCCATATTTACACAGGTGAATGACAGGTACTTAAACAACTGAGTACACTGTACCATTTCACAAAGTGATCATAGCATCGTAACTCCTATACTTTAACAGACTAATGATCATTTTAGAGCTAGGATCACTTTGTGAAATGGTGCTCAGATTAGTAAGTTTGTGAGTATATCAGGGTTAGAAATTGTCACTAGTCCTGTTTTCCTTGCCAAACTGCCTAGTAGTTAAGGTATCATAAGGACTAGCAGAAATTTTCCATTTATAAGGGTTTTGCTAGTGGGCTAAAACTGTTAGTTTCTACTGCCTGTACTCCAGGCACCCGAGACAGATCAGTTTGTAATCATCATGTGTGACATTTGACCTTGTTAATAACTGATTATCAAACTTGTCGTCTGTATATATTTATTGAATATTATTTACCAGAAAACGCTCGTGTCAAATTACCTTAGTCATGAGACCTACTATTGACCGACTTACTTGATATCAGACACCTGACTACCATTCATTCGACATGATTTTATTTCAGTGATCATTCTTTAATCCTGTTGAATGCATAAATCTTGGAAGATAAAATATTTGAAGCATTATCCTGTGTAGACATTCAAGTGAAGGCAAGATGCACCGGACAACAGGCGGCACCATCTATTGTGCATGAAGGTGAGAGGCGGCTTCTTTGATCCAGCCTCCAAGCTCGATGGGATGCACTTAATCTCAACAATCTAAGCATTCCTTGTGGTGATAGACAAAACAGATGACAACTCAACCATCATCCCAGTGGGGAGATCTGTGTGATATCAAGAGCTCATGTGTGATGAGTGTGCCGTGTGATAAACATGTATAGCTACCAGGTATCCTATGACACACAACTCAACACTGCAATGAATATGTGGACCATAGGCATATACCTGTCTTTAGCTTTTTGGGTACCGGTATATTCACATACTTTGGAAATGTTTGTTGTTTAACGCCGCACTCAGCAATATTCCAGCTATATGACGATGGTCTGTAAATAATCGAGTCTGGACCAGACAATCCAGTGATTGACATCATGAGCATCAAGCCACGCAATTGGGATACGATGGCATGCATCAACCATGTGAGCGAACTTGACCACCCGATCCATTAGTCGCCTCTTACGACAAGCATAGTCGCCTTTTACGGCAAGCATGGGTTGCTGAAGACCTATTCTACCCCGGATCTTCACGGGTCCTTTGGAAATGATTCCTATTTATAAGGTTGAATCTGATGAAACCACAAAACAGTGTGTTTTCATTCGCGAATGTATCCATGGGATGAGAATATATGCCTGATGATACAATATCATAGTTTGCTTTCTTTATATACCTACTCATGTATCAAAACATATTATAGTTCTGTCTCACTTATAACAAGAGTCATCAGGAGATGACATATCCCCCAATCTGGTGCAATTCAGAAATGGAGTTTGGCTACTCACATCCCACTTTCGGTTCACTGCCATTGGCTACCTTCAGGGTATAAAATGCTGCTCAGTATCTTTCAACATCCAACATCATCAAAAGGCACCAGTTCCCAACCAAACTGATCTGTATCATGCTGGATAGCTGCGTTTCAACAAGAAATATTCAACGGTGTAGGGGTCCTCAGTGTTCCCGCTGGATCTTGAAACTGCCACGACTGGTAACTCTAAAAATTACCAGTCCACTCTAATATTTGTCAGTCCCAACTTTCAACAAATAAAAAAACATATGTAAATTACCTGGTTCTAATTCTTTCGACATCATGTTCAATGCAATGACGTCATCTCTGAGGTAACTTAGATCTACACATCATTCACACAAAGTTCAGTCACAATTTTCTCTTCTTTTTTTTTTTAAATTTCAAGACAAAGTCACTACAAACATGACAAATATATTTTTAACCTTGAGCAAAGCAAAATGACATTTCCTTGCACTAAAAATTTATAAGGGGAAACCCTGATGGTAATAGACAAGCTGACTTTGTTTGAAAAATATACTTATATGAATATCACAGATTTATAAGGTACTTTATTTGCCGGTCCACAAGGATTGGCAGTCACATGAATTACTGGTACAGGCCTAATTTTACCGGTAAAAAAACTGGTAATTACCATTAAACGGGAACTCTGGGTTCTGCTCTGGAAACGGAAAACAAATGGAGGACAGACGGACAGACAGACAGACATGCTGATTGCTATATCCCCCGTTTTTCAAACCAAGCTACTAGGGCTAGAGTTACCTAAAACATACCGCCTATCATCATGATCATGAAATAACATGCTAAATCTGAGAGAATATTATTATCACAGAAGTTGCCGTGTAAGCATGAGGATATGTACTGATACGCGAGGTGGGCACATTGAGACACACCTGTAGACCAGAGTACCACACTGTGCACATTGTCAGAGTGTGGTGTGACACTATGTGCCATTATACAGACACTGGAGGAACTGGTATTTTGACAAGAGTTTTGACAGATGTTATTCTTTTCAATGTGATATTAGTAACAAACTTCACTAGCTTAACATAATACTGACTCAGTGATACAAACTCACAGTTTTATGGGCACTAGTCTCTATATGATTATACATATAGCAAAACCCTTAAAAAGGCCAAATTTCGACCAGCCCTTAGTATACCTTAACTTTGGAGCAGTTTGGCATGGACTATGGGACTAGTGCCAATTTCTAGCACTAATGACTACATTTCCAGCTTTGGGCTAGTTAAATATGTTTAAGGTAATGTTTGACTGATTTCAAAGCTTTGAAAATGTCAAGTGCCAGCTAGCCCTCCACTGTAGATTAATGTCATGGAAAGTCCATTTGGTAGGGAAGGAGGAATATTTTTCATCACGTCTGTCAAGTCTTGGTTATGGTACAAAAATATGGCTGGTTTGGCAAGGGGAAAAGGGTATCTTAACAGCAGTTTCACTGGCAAACCCAAGCACAGGTCTAATGATTGAAGTGCAACACAGAGCATATGGGGCCTGCAGTGTTGAAGTAAAAAATACCCTTGACAGCTGACAGACTTGCTTCATGCTGCTCAGACTCAGCAGCTAAAAAATGTTCGGGAAACATAGTGGTACTTGCAGTGCACACAAACATATGCTGCCATGCATTCTCACAATATGTACTGGCAGCACCTAGGACTTTCTTACGAGTGTGATAAACATGATAAGGTGACTTATAACGACAAGTGATAGCCCCGCATACAGCAGGTTGAATGCAGTATTCTAACTCCTCTCATGTTCGTTTTTGTTTGTTTGTTGTTAAACGCCACACTCGGCAATAGTCCAGGTATATGACAGCGGTCTGTAAATAGTCAAGTCTGGACCAGACACTCCAGTGTTTGACATCATGAGCATCAATCCACACAATTGGGATACGATGACATGCATCAACCCAGTCAGCAAGCCTGACCACCTGATCCTGTTAGTCGCCTCTTACAATAAGGATTATCGTTTTTTTACAGAAAGCATGGGATGATGAAGACCTATTCTAACTCGGGTCTTCACAGGTCCCTTTCATGTTCGGCATGCATGGATCAGGAAGCAATACAATAAAGCTAGAATTCCATGTGCACATAGTCCATGTGTAATCGTGATCCGTATTGGCTGTGTCCATGTGGGCGTGAAATAAATACTAATGCAGGCATGATTTTAGTTCTTTACGACTGAATGTGGGGAAAAACCCAGGGTATTCCCCACTTTCATGTACATAATAGCTGTGTGACTCAAGTTCAAATGGTCATGAGCATTCTAGGCATTACTGATTGCTAACTTCGGATAATGTACTACGCAGTAAGGGCACATGGAAAGATATCTTTAAATTAAGTCTAAAGTATTCTATACACATCACGAAATACATGCATATGGAATCCAAGTTTTACTGACCTACAGGTATTGAAATATTTGAGGGGTAAGTCCAAACCTACATTCTGCTCTTATTTTACAGATGAACATTTAGTGAGGAAAATTTAAAAAAAATTCATTTATGTTAAAAAGGTTTGGAAATGGTGTTAGAGTGAATGACTGTGTAGTTTTAAGCTGCATTTAGCAACATTCAAGCAATATCACGGCAGGTTACACCAGAAATGGGCTTCAAAAATTGTACCCATGTGAGGAATTGAATCCAGGCCTTCTGTGTAACAAGCAAATACTCTAACCACTAGGTTAATCAAGAACACCAGATTTACACAGATTATGTAACTTGGTTTGTCAGCACCATACCTGTGCACGTTCAGCACGTTGGAGTCTCCAATGTGGTAAAGTTCTTTGATTTGCAGTAGGGCTTGGACGAGTCCAAATTTACTACCCGGGTACCCACACCCCTATTACCCGACCCTACCCGGGTACCCGTTGTTGGTGTCAAGAGATAGGTACAAAATGTCCGCTTGGGAATAGTTTGACAGTAGCCTTATCAGAATGTATTTAGATACATGTATAAAACGATGTGGTCATGCATACAGTTGACTGAAGTTTTAGCTTTGTTCCAAACATATTAAGTCAGAAGGAACGTGTTCATAGTCATGAAGAAATGCAAACATTGGAGACTTAAAATTGTCGTGTAACCATGTAGTTATACAGTGAATTTTTGTCATGAAACAATATATCACGTGACTAACCACGGGTCTGGGTAGATCCGTGGGTACCCGGGTTCTACTCAGTACCCACCCGACCCGAGTCCCCGAGTTACCCGTTCTAGCCCTAATCTGCATCACTTTGGGATTTCCTCCCACATACGAGTTGACAGGCTCCGACTCACCTAAAATACTGTTCTAAGCGGCATTAGACCAAACCCACTCACCTACTTTAGAACTCAAATCTCCACCATGTACAAACACAACTAATCTTAGTTTCAAACATGAAAGTAAAAGGTCATCATGATCATAGCAATGTCAAAAATCAACATACACCAACACCTCATATAAACAAGTTCGTCTAGTGAAAGATTTATTCATGTAAATCATAAAATCTGAACGCAACTTTTTTTTCATCATTAAGGAATAGATTAATTTTTTTCACCACCATCCTCCCAAAGACATGAAATGGTCAGTCCTAACGTCTATTACCCTGCATACTATTATCACCCAAGGTCACACAGCTCAGTAATGGCAAACATGGCCTTGTAAGATGGCTGCAGTGGCATCCATGTTTAAAATAACATCTGGTAGTCAGTATACCACATGCCTAATGCATACTGGCTTCTGATAGAAATATAGAAACATTCTTAAACTGTTAATAATATGATGTAATATTTCAGTTTACCCCATTCAGGTACTAAGGTGACCTATACAAGCTTAATTTATACTTTATTTTTTTAACTTCTCTGAATATATTTGACATTCCTAGAATAGCTAACTGCTGCCAAGCTCTCCTCCAATCCATTGTTAGGAATCATCCTCAAGATGATGTAGTGTTGGAATTACTTTCCCAGTCACCCAAACCTTAAAAAAACAAAACTGTAATTATCTCCTGAGAAATAACTTCACAATCAGCTTCAGGTTAAAATGCTTCCTCCATTTGTAGAATTGATTGACCACTAAAACCAACTGCACAATCATTATATATAGCAAAATATGCTCACATAAAATCTTAGTGACTTGACACTGTTTCTACAGTGAATTTTCTTTGGATAAAAAAAACAATACCTGAAGTGATAATTATAAAAAAACATTACTTACATAAAGAACGCAGCAAGCTGTGAGCCCTGTATCTACCCTGTGCATGTATCACCAAGGTAACCTGACACTAAAAGTGCATCCAGATGTCATTCTGCCCTATGTCTGTGGGGCAGGTTAATCCCCAGAGACAGGCCAGGTAAAGGCAGTACCATATACACCATGTAGATGATACACAGTAATACTTCCCTCCTGGCTGGAGAACATCAGCCCAGCTTGTCTACACATGACCAGGATGGGTGTGTTGCCTGTATATATTTGTTTGTTCATTGTATTGAGTATTCTCAAGTTACATTGTAACCGGTATCTTGTTTATCGGAGAAAGGTCCCAAATGACAACATTTGGACTTGCTGACAAAATTCTATGGACACAAAGAATCTGCCTCTTATACTGTATTCTACGATAAAGTATACCTGTGTAACGAGAGTCACACAAGTGGTTCCAAATTGTGATCTGTTCCAACTGCGGACACCATGGACACTAGCTATAATCACATCTAATCCTTCTGTAAACATGGTCACAAGTACCTAATCATAACTAAACTCAGTTTTGGTTTTTGATAAATTCAGACTTCTGAATGGGAAAAAATATAATCTCATGAAGCTTCAGAGGTGAAAATAGTTATAACTTATAGAAGAGAAAATCCTTTTTTTTCAAGTTAATTAAAATCAATGGTTGTATTGAAAATAAAAGATATTATTTCTTTCCAATGAATTCAATGCATTCAGGGATTAATCCAAAAGTATAATAAGAAACATTCAAAGTTTGATCAAAATTGAGTGAGTCGGGTTTAACACTGCTTTTAACACTATTCCAGTTATATCACGGCGTGTCGGCTTAATGTGGGAGGAAAGCCCGCAGTGATGCATGTCTCAGACATTTACCACTTTGGTGAAACTCACGAGCACCGGTATGGTGCTAACAAACCTAGAAACATAATAAGGCGAACTGGGATTCAAACCCACTACCATTGTTTTCTGGCGTGCCCAAGGAACGCAACTCGACTGGGCCCCTTGATCAAAAGATTGAACACTTACAGGTAATAGCAGTTACATATGAACTTATTGAAGACACATGGATCAACATCACTTGCAATGCATTTAGATCTGTGACTGCCAAACTGGTACAGCTGTGGTGGTGATTGATGCCACTTCAGCCTCACATCATCTGTGATACTATTACACAACACGACAGTTCTTGCACAAAAAGAGTGATACATAATGTGTATTTCAGCCAGGTAAGCTTACAGAAACAACATGTATTTCATATGTGCACATGAACATGATACATTCTGTCAACCAGAAGCTATGACCAGGATTGTTTACAAGCTGTTCTGACACTACTTATTATATATGTCTTGGTCATTAACAGATTTCTGTGAAGTTACACTAACATGGGTGTCTCTTACCTCTATGTGACCACAGACTCAATCAGGTAGTCACGTACCTTGGAGATGGTATCGGAGGTGCATTCACCACCCTCGCCATCACGAAATACTCCATCAGAATCCATCAGAACCACACAGAATGTGGGCAAAAACCTTATTAACAAGACAGTCTTGTCGCCACCAGAATAGCTAGGACTTGTTTGTAATAGTGAGTGGGTGAGTGACTTTGGTTTTACGCCGCTTTTAGCAATATTCCAGCAATATCACGGGGATGGGGAGGGACACCAGAAATGGGCTTCACACATTGAACCCATGTTGGGAATTGAACCCGAGTCATCGGCGTGACGATCGAACGCTTTAATCACTAGGCTACCCAACCGCCCCATTGTTTGTAAAAAGTAAAATCAGAGACCATATGGTCTCTGGTAAAATCAGCTCTAATTTTGAAATGTTGTCATAACTCGTCAAAAATCAGGTGCAGATATGTTCAGGGGTTCCAAGGAATTAAATATAAATACATTTTAAATGAAAACCTCAAACATCTCAGATGCACATTTCATTTCTCAAAATAGACTGAGTTTGAGAATTGAGCAATAAATTAAGTTTGTTTCAAGAAGTCTTAGCAAGGACAAACTCTCTCCCCCAAGTTTCAAACAGTACGGAACTATGCTAGAAATTAATCTTAAAGTCAAGGGGTACTTTTGAGTGTAATTACCATATATGTTAATGGTTGAAAGTTTAGAGAGTCCCTTAATTCAAATACTACAGGAATAAACATATATACATATGACAACATGTACCGTATTCGACGTAATAAGCGCCCAGGGCGCTCTCAAAATAGAAATAGGGGGCTCTTACAAGAACATTATTTTGAGTTGAAAGATCGTAAATTTCATGGTTTATGCTGACAGCCTGAAATGTTTATATACGACAGATATATTTTTCCAGAGTTTAATTTCCCATAATTAAGGGTGCATATAACATATGAGTGCGTATTATACACAAATAAATAAGTCTTGTGTACATTAATCAATTGGAAGGGGTGCTAATTGAGATTGTTTACTAGCCAATATATTAACAAACATCGCCGTGGGCGCTTATTACGTCGAATACGGTATATCATTTTTATTTCTACCTGCTGTCATGAATAAATCAAGGACTAGTTGGTAGAATATAATCTGAATTAAAATGCTCCTCCTGTAGTTCTGGGTGTTTGTGTGCGATAATGGCGATTTGATATGTATGCAATGAAAACTGAAAAAAACATTGTTTCTTATGCATATTATTGGCACTAACCAAATCAACAAATACTTATATCTTTGACCTGAAGAGAAAAACAATCAGCCCAGACAATTTAGCGAAGCACTTTTTCTGTTGCCATGGGTAGATCTACTCATTAGAGTGTCATATGATATGTCATATATTATGATATACGTCAGACAGTAAATGGAAGTATTATATCATTGATGGGATATACCCTCATTATACCATCCCTCTTTGAGATACAGTACGTTGAGTTTACGGAAACTGTAACTGTACAAATAATGAGCGATGTATTTTGAAACAAATGACGAAAAATTATGCCAAGCATTGAAAATATCACTTACGAGTAAGTTAGATCACATCCCGGCATGTAATTCTTGCTTGTCACAGCTCCACGTGCAGCACGAGGATTCATAAACAACACGGAAATCGTCTGCCGTAGCTAACGTGACCTACAGAGGCGCGCGCCCTCTACCGACCAAACCATACGCACCCTATCGAGGCTAACAGGCGCGCGCCAGCTGTTGGCTTGCTTATCGCTCGAGTTCTCAGCGACCTTAGGGTTAGTTCTTACAGTGCCAGTTGAGAAGACTAACTCCCTTAGACTCCCATCAATTCCAGGAATACCTGGACTGTTAGTCGAACTAATTAAGTTGCACGTTAACATCTGTTTCATTGGGACAAGAGGATTGGATGTTTGCTTATCAAACGGTTTTTTTCACATGCTTCTGGAAAAATAATTTTTTTGTCAGGGTTTCGAAGCCCCAATTTTCAGGAAATCTGTGATTATAATTTACCAGCGTTTTACATATCTACTCATGCACCTGTAAAGCTGTTACATGTTTTTAAATATTTTGATATCTTCAATTTTGTGTTTCGAGAACACTTGTAAAGATTTACATAATCTGTCTGATCAACACAAGTATATTTGAAATCCTCTCTAATATTTACCTCGCATCAAAGCAATTTGTTTGTAATATTTTTCTTGGCATTTTGCCCCGTAATGCATCTTTGGAATACGTTCACGCACGGTCGGGTTCCTATCCCACAGGCCAGGAAAAGTGCGCAGATAAAAGTCGTTCTCCCGATCTCCTCTTTTTTCGTCTCGAACAATAACAAATTGGCAGTCTGTCTAAATCACGAAGTTCCTAAATGTGTTGATCTTCTTTCCACACTTCTAAAACAGGCAGCTAGCCCCTTATTACAGGATAAACATCTTGCAAATATAGAGAGACGATAAACAAATCAACTTAAATGTAATACAAAATAGATCCATCACTGAACAATATTGACCTTTGATGGGAATATCGGCTTCTATATTAATTAGCAGAGAACATTTATAAACCATTTATTTAGTCGTCAAATTCCATATTGTTTTTTGTTTTTTTATTTTACTGAAAACCCACCTACGGTCATCATGGAAGGAATGATTGCACTCATCTGACAACAGAAATGACGCAGCAATGCTGATGACGTCGTTACCATAGCAATTCATTATTTTTTAAATTTTATTTTATTTTTATTTACAATCATTTTATTTATTTATTTATTTATTATTTATTTATTTTTATTATTATTATTATTATTTTTGTTTATTTTATTTATTTATTATTATTATTTATTTATTTTTATTTATTTATTAATTTATTTATTTTTGGGCGGGGGGGGGGGCTCATTCGCTAGAATAATAAATTGGTACATACTATAATAAGTGGGTACATACACATGTTGGTGAGATGTCCGTGCCCATGCAGTATTTCAGTCATTGTAAATCTTGAATATGAACCGCTCCCTTTCGTAATTCAATCCACTCATATGCATGGGTTGGCAGCTTCTGGCGCATATCTATACTCAGCTGTTGAAGGGTCACCTCCGCATAATATCAATTTCCAAAAGTAATAAAGACATATTGGTTGAAAATGAATATACTGAGTGTTAGTTCCAAATTCAAACCAAAAAAGCGACACAGGCAGTAGGCAGCCAGTGGTTGGATTGTAAGGTCGTGAGCTGATTGTTTGTTTTAAATCCACACTGGGCAATATTCCGGCTATATGACGATGACGCGGCCTGTAAATCCCATCCAGTGATCGATATTGTGAGCAACGATCCACGCCATCGGGTTACGATGACACGCAATTATCAAGGTCACCGCGCCCGACCTTGCATCCGATCCTTTGGTCGCCTCTAACAACCAGCATATAGATTGCTGGTGACCAAATCTAACCTGGATGGGTGGTCGGGCAGCCTAGTGGTTAATGCGTTCGCTCGTCACGCCGAAGACCCGGGTTCGATTCCCGACATGGGTACAATGTGTGAAGCCCATTTCTGGTGTCCCCCACCATGATATTGCTGGAATATTGCTAAAAAGCGGCGTAAAACCAAACTCACTTACTCACTCTAACCTAGAATCTCCACCAGGGTACCGTTTCACAAAGCAGTCGTAAATTTACACGCTCGTAAGACTTACGACTGCTTTGTGAAACGGTACCCAGGTGCATTGCGGTTCCACACCACAACGTGTCACTGTGTCCTTGCAGTGGCGGTAGTACCACCAGACCATAGTGGAAGTCACCATAACGATTAGGCGACACGACTGCAGCATCCCCACAACACTCCAGGCGCCGACTGAAAACCCGCCTACGGCCATCAATGGATGGAATGATTGCACTCATCTGAGAACAGAACTGACGCAGCAAAGCTGATGACGTCGTTACCATAGCAAACGAACGTCATTGCCTATATGTATGACCTGATGTCTGTGGTGACTGAACTGAGATCAACAGAACGCAAGCTGCTTCTTATGGTGGTTGTGCAGTAGGGTAGTCCAGTGGTTAAAGCGTTCGCTCTTCACGCCGAAGGCCTGGGTTCGATTCCCAACATGGGTACATTGTGTGAAGCGCATTTCTAAGGTCCTCTGATGTTATTGCTTAAGCGGCATTAAACGACACTGAATCACTTATCACTGTAATGCTAATGCGAACGTGTGTTCATCCCTTAAATGACCCACCGGGACGCTATATGACGGTAGTCTGTAAATAATCGAGTCTGGACCAGATCATCTGGTGACTGATATCATGAGCATCGATCCATGCAATTGTGATACGATGACATGCATCAACCAAAAAAGCGAGCCTGACCACCCGATCCCGTTAGTCGCCCCTTAAAAGCATAGTCGCCTGTTCCGGCATGCAAGCATGGGTTGCTGAAAACCAGTTCTAACTCGGATCTTCACGGGTCACCATGTGGTTAAAACACCGACCTAATTCCGCTCTCCGGGCAGACGCTCTATCCACTAGACCACGTAGACGGTCGTCACGACATTGCCTGAGAAATATGGCAATCATTAAATGCCTGTCAACACATGTTAAATAAACAGACATAATGGTTTTCGAATACTTTTATTCAACTTGCTTGGGCTTGTAAATTGATCCGAGCCCAGCTCCCCTTTACTTACAAAAGGAAGATTTCATCCATACAGCGCGCGGTGCCCTGGCCCAAGCATAAGAAACCGTCACATGCCTCAGTTAACGGGGATCAAGGAAGTATGAACTTGTCCGTTATCCGCGATCTCCTGAAACTCTAGATAAGATTCCACCTGTGGTCTGATGAGCCAGTTATTCAGCTCCTGGTGGATAAGACGTCTTCCTTATCATCATGCAAGAGACTGAACATGGTTAACTTGTATCCCCGGTGACCCGCCACTGCCCCTAATTGGAGAATGGCGACAAGGGTGAGTGAGTGAGTTATTATTTAACGTCACATGGGCAATATTTCAGCCATATCGTGACGTGAAGTTACATTTATGATACATTTATGATACATTTATGATACATACATTTAAACTGAAAAAAAAGCTGTCAAGGAAGGACAGTAGAATAACTAGAATATGGCGACAAGGGGGTCGCGTTTCACAGTAACACGCCATGGACACAAAGAACTGGTTCCACACCCAGTTTGCTGTCATTTAGTGGGCGAACATCATATACATGCGAAAAGACATGATCTGGACTAAGAAACACTAAACTAACTTGAGTGAGTCACAGGACCATTAACTTATAATAACAAACTCGCAGACGAGGCCGAAGGCCACTCCGAGATGGTTACCACGTTTGGAAGAAACGCTGACACACCAAAGGTAATATCCGAGCCAAATCTGGATTCGACCCCACGACCAGTGGATGCTGGCACATCTAATGGTCCTAACTCTGCATTGCATATCGCAGTACCTCTGACCACATGGCAACCCACGCACCATGAGGTGTGCAAACCATGCATTTGTTGTAAGAATCGAAAACTGAAAGATTTCCTTTACTAATAGAGATGTCAATAATGGTGTAACTGTCCAAATGTTAGCAGGAGATTTCACTGTTCAAACTGTTCCAGCAAACATCACCGGTATTGTGGACCTATTCTGAATCGCGACTATGCTTGTGGTAAGAGGCGACTTGCGGAATCGGGTTGTCCGGCTCGCTGACTTGGTTGATGCATGTCATCGTATCCCAATTGCGTTGATCGATGCTCATGACATCGATCACTGGGTTGTCTGGTTCGGACTCGATTATTCACAGACCGCCGTCATATAGCCGGAATATTGCTGAGTGCGGTGTTAAACAACAAACAAACAAACTCGATGTGGGAGCAATCAGTGGGTAAGAAAGTTATACCCATATCTTTCGGAGTCGTTTGTACCAATATACCAAGGGATATGTGGTGTAACTAACTCCCCCCCTACTCCAAGCAGGAGTCAATATGTATTTACCTTTTAAAGGTAATGTGATATGCATTTATAGACGTTAACAAAAGTAACTGAAACGGACATAAAATATCCATACACACTACTGTTGACTATCAGCAAGTTCAGAGAGCGTGCACATACATAACACAAATGGAGAGGTTACATTCTTTTGCCTTTGATTTTAATAATTCTAGTCTGGAATGTATATGTATTGTTTGTTGTTGATTAACACCACTCACAACACTTTTCAAGCTATATGACGACATGCTCCAGTTAAGCAAATTGGGGCCAGTTAAATATAATATAATAAACTTAAAGTCACAGTCTGAATTGTAAAACAACATGTGACAAGTGTAGGGGTATTATGAAAGGAGTCTTGTATGGCCAATGCCCCTCAAGTTAAAACAAATGAAACCATGGCAACGAGATTGTGGGTGTACATGAATGTTGTTATACACCATAACCAACATGGTTCTGGCAATATGACTTTATCCTGCGGAATAAACCAGTGGTTGATAGTGTGAACCACAAGAACCTTTCAGTGAAATACATGCATATTCATAGACAAAACAACCCTCATGGTTTGGTCCTCAGGCTGAACTGAAAGGGCATATTTGATCTTTTCTTAGTAAAAAATACAAACCCATGGAATCTATTCTTACATATTTATTTCTTATAAATTTGGCGCGTTAATACATATCTGAGAAATGAAAAGGTGAAAATGAACGAAAATAAGACATTATGCCAAAAACACAAGTTACAAACCATTGCGATTAAGCCTGAGAACATAAGCTTCACTGGACAATCACTACAAGAGGAACAAGCTGAACGTGAACAAGCAAATGATATGTTTCCGAGAAACATCTAACTGGGAATGAATTCATCACTTCATTACTGACAAACTTATACCTTGATATATTATAGAACACTATGAAAATACAAAAGGACTATATGCAATATCATTTTTATGCTCATCTTTTCCTAACAATATCTACATCTAAATTACATTTGGGCAGGACCGGAATTATATTTATGAAGACTTTTGTAAGTGGACAATACTGCCAATTCAGTATGAAACATGAATACTCATATTCAATCCTGAAGGCTTTAAAGGCAGTCCTTAACACATTCATAAAACACTTCCAAAAATGCACTAAATGAACTTACTTAAACTTGGTTTATTATACTTGACGTATTTGGTTGAATAACTGATCACAACCAATCAGTTCTCGTTAACATATCAAAGTTACTTTCCTTCAAATGCAATATTCATTGAAATGTACGCGGACATCCCATTCAGCACTTTACATGCTACTCTATCTCCAGTAGACGCTACACGTATCCCCGCATGGACAGCCAGACACCACTTGGATAATCCCATCTTCCACCCCACAGTACCCATGCTGTATGTAGTTATCAACAGAGGACAGTGGAACATATCACAGCATGAAAACTAATCTATTCACTACTTGGAGAATGGTAGACAGGAGTACACAGACCTTTGTGTAAAGTAGTTGAAGAGGTTAAAGTATAGGAGATGCCAAAGATGTGGAAGGTGACCTTAAGATGTCACTATGTAACACATCTACTGATAATCATCTAAGATCTGGGATGTCCATTGATGTTAATGTGATGGGCAGTTGGTTCAAGTCAGCCTACAGTGATCTAGGTCCCGGTCACAGATGTCGGTCAGTCGGTCCCTCCGTCCGTCCGTCCGTCAGTCAGCATCCATACTGTCCAAGTCAACACAGAGGATGGGATCTATGTTCATTACACAGTTTGTAAACATCTGCCTGCCCAAACCAACCTCCAGTAATTTGATTCATACCTGAAAAGTAACCAGATGTTGGCTTGATGTCCATGTTAACAGTGTGAATGGTAGGTAACCAAGGTTCATGTCTACTAGATGAATGCATGATTCTGATGAAGATGATCCAGTAAGATGCAGAACAACGTGTATGAGTTAATAACCTGATTCTAAAACAGCTAACATACACTCAGTCCACAAGTGTCTCAGTTAATGTCCACTGATTTCCATATTAATGAGCTGATATCAGTGAAACAAGCTGATTAAAATATACTCCAATAAAGTGGTTCCTGATGCAAGAATGTTCATGATTCCTGTCAAATCTCAGAATCGTCCATTCAATATTTAAATCTTCAGAGACATTTGAAAACTCTCAACCCTAAAACATGTTTGAGAGAAACATCTTGACACAAATTCATTCACCGATCAACAGAATCTATTCTGTGAATTTATCATTCAGCCATTTCTGTGGACACACTTTCTACAAAAACTAACATGCTTAATTTAAAAATATGCAACATCCTTGGCTCCGCGGTATCTACAAGTGCACCCTGCTCTGGGAGGTGGTTCAATCCGATGGCTTCTCCTGCCTGGTCTCCTGGTCAACTGTCCGTCGCTCCTCCTCCACCTCCCCCTCCTCCAAGTCCTTGACCTCCCCATCTTTAGCCCCTCCATCTTTACTCTTATCATCATCTCGTGGATCACTCAATCGCCTGCCCTTATCGTCCTTAGCGTGTCTAGTTTCCTCATCCACCTTTCTCTTTTTCTCGTCCGTCCTATCCCTGCTTCTGTCCCTCTCGGAACTCCTCCTCCTCCTCTCCTTCCTCTCACTTCTCCTCTTGCTGCGGTCCTCATCATGCTTGCTTTTCCTATTCTCCTTCTCTCCATCCTTATCACTCCGCCTTTCTCTCTTCCTCTCACGGTCTCTGCTACGACTTCTACTTCTGGACCGCCGCCTTTCTCTCTCCTTTGCACCACTCTTTCTCCTCTCCCTCTCACTACTCTTATCTTTTCCCTCTGTTGATTTACTTCTGTCCTTGGTTGACTGAGTCTGTTCTTTATCATCTTTAGACACATTTTTGTCTTTCCCATCCCTCGACCTACTTCTGGCTTTCCGATCCTTTGACCTACTTCTAGCTTTCCCATCCCTTGAACTACTTCTGTCTTTCCCATCCTTCGACCTACTTCTAGCTTTCTCTCCATCCCTTGACCTACTTCTAGCTTTTTCATCATCACTTGACCTACTTCTAGCTTTCTCGCCATCACTTGACCTATTTCTAGCTTTCTCATTGTCACTTGGCCTAACTATGTCTTTCTCTCCATCCTTTGCCCTACTTATGTCTTTCTCTCCATCACTTGACCTGCTACTAACTTTCTCTCCATCCGTGGACCTACTGTTTTTCTGTCCATCCTTTGACTTCCTTTCCACCCCTTTCTTCTCTCCATCCTCACCACTCTTCACACGCCTTCTTTCCTTCTCCAACTCACCACTTTCCTTCTCTGACTCAATCTCCCCCTCCTCATTCTCCTCCTCCCCTTCCTTCACTCCTTCCATCTTCGCCTCCTCTCCGTCACCGTCACCCCCTCCCTCCTCTGCTGCTGCAGCCACCACCTGCCTCACATCCACCCTCCTTTCATCACCGGCCCCAACTTCCCCCTCACCATTCTTCCTCTCCTCCAGCACCACCTCATTCTCTTCAATCTGATCAAACTTATCCTGGTCGTCCTCGTCCTCCTCCAGGTCCTCCTGTTCTTCTTCCTGTCGTCGCGCCCCTCCCCTCACTCCCTCCCCACTCTCCCTGCGTGCCCTCAGTCTCTCCTCCCTCTCAATCTCGCGCGTCATCATGTCCTCGATCTCCTCCTCCAACTTGGCTCGTCTGTCCTTAATCATCTCTGAAAAAAGGAACTCCACAATCAGAACCATTCCATATATATAGCATGACATAGTGGAACCACTTTATTATTGCAATAGTAAGGGGAGTCCCTTTACCTTGAAACATGTAACTTTTCTATATTCAACATGTGAAGCAGGTGGGGTGAAATGGAATTCAACAATATGTTCAAGTTTAGTGCACTTATATAGAGCAATGTGTCTCCTTATACTCGTCCGAATAATGCCGGTTTTATAGTGATGTGGATGAAAGCTTAATGTATTAGACTATGCACGAGTAAGAAACTCTTTCTGCATGTTCTGTGCTGAGCTACATATTGTATTGTGATTTTGCGTATGATCCAAGCCAGTGTTTGAAATAAAAATATTGCCAGGCTGCTATCAGGACCCACAGACTTTAGAAGCTGCAGGCCATGAATAAACTTATTAAGCCCTCATTTGAAAAACTGCAGCTTATTGTGACAAATAAACAGACACGGCCGGCCATAAGGACCCACACGGACAGACCGGACTGATCCAAGCCCCATTAACCATCAGACTTTACCATAGCCCTGTCCCATGTGTATTGATGAATGACGTAACACACTCACTGTCTACAACAGCTTTGGTTTCCTTCAGCTTGGTCTCAGTGGAGCTGATCAGACCTCTGGGCAGGTAAAATATCTGAGGTTTGGTCTTGGTGCAGATGAAGTTCTCCAACTTCTTGGTCTCCATGGCCCAGTTGTCATGCTGAAACAAAACCTCTCCTGTAACAACACTGGCTGTCCATCGAGATACCATACCAGTTTAACAATGGCTACTCAACTACATATACACAGTACACTGATTTCAATCCAGTCCTTGTTTTATCCCCTTAATGCCTAGCACCAAGAAGGGTAACAACAAGTACCATCTTTTAACATCTTTTGGTATCACAGGGAACAAACCACCAACATTCCACTCTCCAGACAGAGGCTCTATCCACTGCACCAGGGAGGCAGTCACAAGCCCACCAGGCTAGAGCAAGTGAGCCACGTTCTCACCACTCTTAGATACATCAGTGACAAACTAACAATGTACTTCACAGCTGTTCTTTGTTTGTTTGTAGTTTGTTGTTTAGAGCCGCACTAAGCAATATTCTAGCTACATGATGGGGGCCTGTACAATGATTGTACCCTAATGCATGGATCATGGTGTCAATGACATGCATCAACCACGTCGGTTAGCCTGACCACCCGATCCCGTTTGTCGCCACTTACAAAGAGCATGGTCGCCTCTTTCGAAGATCATGGTCGCCTCTTACGAAGAGCATGGTCGCCTCTTACAACAAGCATGGGTTACTGAAGGCCTATTCTAATCCAGATCTTCACAGGTCTACAGCTTTGCCCACAAGGGGGGAAGACATGGACAATCTGTGAGACAAGTTAACACACTTCCCAGCAGACCTCGTTTGTCTCCCCCCACACAATCTGACAGAGGTTTGTGATCATAGACAGGATCTTTCCTGTCATGTTGGATCAATACTACTTAACATATGTACATTAAAACAAACACACAGTAGATAAGTGTCCACTAATCTGTGACCGGTATTAAACGACGTGCTAGCCCTTTGTGCCGCAGATGTTTATCAACATCATGAATCCTAGGAGACCAGATATGGTGCAGACAGACCAAGGATCATAGTAACGGCTAATCTGGGATTTGAACCCATTGCAACCTGATCCAAGCATGCCTAGGGCTACCCAGCATCCCGACGAAGGGTGGGATACACACCTGTCTGACCAGCTCCATCTTCTGTTCAAGTCGATGTATCTTTGCCTGCTCCTGCTCAAATTCCTGCACCAGCTGTTTCTTCTCCTGGACAAGTCGGGCCTTCTCCTGCTTGGCCTTCGACTCCAGTTTCTCCTCAATCTTCTTCCTCTGCTCCTCCTGCAGACACACAGGCAGACATCAGCAAGACACACATCAATGTGTGACAGGCACACATCAGCCAGGCAGACACACATCAGCCACAGAGCTAGGCACACATCAGCCACAGAGCTAGGCACACATCAGACACAGAGACAGACACACATCAGCCAGCAAGCCAGACACACATCACCCAGCCAGGCAGACACACATCACCCAGCAAGCCAGACACACATCAGCCAGCCAGACAGACACACATCAGCCAGCCAGACAGCCAGCCAGGCAGACAGACACACATCAGCCAGCCAGACAGCCAGCCAGGCAGACACACATCAGCCAGCCAGCCAGACAGACACACATCAGACACAGAGACAGACACACATCAGCCAGCCAGCCAGACACACATCACCCAGCCAGGCAGACACACATCAGCCAGCCAGGCAGACACACATCAGCCAGCCAGCCAGACACACATCAGCCAGCCAGCCAGACAGACACACATCAGACACAGAGACAGACACACATCAGCCAGCCAGACAGACACACATCAGACACAGAGACAGACACACATCAGCCAGCCAGACAGACACACATCAGCCAGCCAGGCAGACACACATCAGCCAGCCAGACAGACACACATCAGCCAGCCAGACAGACACACATCAGCCAGCCAGGCAGACACACATCAGCCAGCCAGACAGACACACATCAGCCAGCCAGGCAGACACACATCAGCCAGCCAGACAGACACACATCAGCCAGCCAGGCAGACACACATCAGCCAGCCAGACAGACACATATCAGCCAGCCAGACAGACACACATCAGCCAGCCAGGCAGACACACATCAGCCAGCCAGACAGACACACATCAGCCAGCCAGCCAGACACATATCAGACACAGAGACAGACACACATCAGCCAGCCAGACAGACACACATCAGCCAGCCAGCCAGACACACATCAGACACAGAGACAGACACACATCAGCCAGCCAGCCAGACACACATCACCCAGCCAGGCAGACACACATCAGCCAGCCAGACAGACACACATCAGACACAGAGACAGACACACATCACCCAGCCAGACAGACACACATCAGCCAGCCAGGCAGACACACATCAGCCAGCCAGACAGACACACATCAGCCAGCCAGCCAGACACACATCAGCCAGCCAGGCAGACACACATCAGCCAGCCAGACAGACACACATCAGCCAGCCAGCCAGACACATATCAGACACAGAGACAGACACACATCAGCCAGCCAGACAGACACACATCAGCCAGCCAGCCAGACACACATCAGACACAGAGACAGACACACATCAGCCAGCCAGCCAGACACACATCACCCAGCCAGGCAGACACACATCAGCCAGCCAGACAGACACACATCAGACACAGAGACAGACACACATCACCCAGCCAGACAGACACACATCAGCCAGCCAGCCAGACACACATCAGACACAGAGACAGACACACATCAGACACAGAGACAGACACACATCACCCAGCCAGGCAGACACACATCAGCCAGCCAGACAGACACACATCAGCCAGCCAGACAGACACACATCAGCCAGCCAGACAGACACACATCAGCCAGCCAGGCAGACACACATCAGCCAGCCAGACAGACACACATCAGCCAGCCAGGCAGACACACATCAGCCAGCCAGGCAGACACACATCAGCCAGCCAGACAGACACACATCAGCCAGCCAGGCAGACACACATCAGCCAGCCAGGCAGACACACATCAGCCAGCCAGCCAGACACACATCAGCCAGCCAGACAGACACACATCAGCCAGCCAGACAGACACACATCAGCCAGCCAGGCAGACACACATCAGCCAGCCAGACAGACACACATCAGCCAGCCAGGCAGACACACATCAGCCAGCCAGCCAGACACACATCAGCCAGCCAGACAGACACACATCAGCCAGCCAGACAGCCACACATCAGCCAGCCAGACAGCCACACATCAGCCAGCCAGGCAGACACACATCAGCCAGCCAGGCAGACACACATCAGCCAGCCAGACAGACACACATCAGCCAGCCAGGCAGACACACATCAGCCAGCCAGCCAGACACACATCACCCAGCCAGACAGACACACATCAGCCAGCCAGCCAGACAGACACACATCAGCCAGCCAGACAGACACACATCAGCCAGCCAGCCAGACACACATCACCCAGCCAGACAGACACACATCAGCCAGCCAGACAGCCAGCCAGGCAGACACACATCAGCCACACAGACAGCCAGCCAGCCAGACAGACACACATCAGACACAGAGACAGACACACATCAGCCAGCCAGCCAGGCACACACATCAGCCAGCCAGCCAGCCAGCCAGCCAGGCACACACACATCAGCCAGCCAGCCAGGCACACACATCAGCCAGCCAGCCAGCCAGCCAGCCAGCCACACACATCAGCCAGCCAGCCAGCCAGCCAGCAAGCCAGGCACACACACATCAGCCCGCCAGCCAGGCACACACATCAGCCAGCCAGCCAGCCAGGCAGACACACATCAGCCAGCCAGCCAGCCAGCCAGGCACACACACATCAGCCAGCCAGCCAGCCAGGCACACACACATCAGCCAGCCAGCCAGCCAGCCAGGCACACACACATCAGCCAGCCAGCCAGGCACACACATCAGCCAGCCAGCCAGCCAGGCACACACATCAGCTAGCCAGCCAGGCACACATACATCAGCCAGCCAGCCAGCCAGGCACACACATCAGCTAGCCAGCCAGGCACACACACATCAGCCAGCCAGCCAGCCAGCCAGGCACACACACATCAGCCAGCCAGCCAGGCACACACATCAGCCAGCCAGCCAGCCAGGCACACACATCAGCTAGCCAGCCAGGCACACATACATCAGCCAGCCAGCCAGCCAGGCACACACATCAGCCAGCCAGCCAGGCACACACACATCAGCCAGCCAGCCAGGCACACATACATCAGCCAGCCAGCCAGCCAGGCACACACATCAGCTAGCCAGCCAGGCACACACATCAGCCAGCCAGGCACACACACATCAGCCAGCCAGCCAGCCAGCCAGGCACACACACATCAGCCAGCCAGCCAGCCAGGCACACACATCAGCCAGCCAGCCAGCCAGCCAGCCAGCCAGGCACACACACATCAGCCAGCCAGGCACACACACATCAGCCAGCCAGCCAGCCAGCCAGCCAGCCAGGCACACACACATCAGCCAGCCAGGCACACACACATCAGCCAGCCAGCCAGCCAGCCAGCCAGCCAGGCACACACACATCAGCCAGCCAGGCAGGCAGACACACATCAGCCACACAGAGACAGACATCAGACAGCCAGGCAGGCAGACACACATCAGCCACACAGAGACAGACATCAGCCAGACAGCCAGGCAGGCAGACCCAGACAGATACACATCAGCCATCACACATCGTATCAGATACACATCAGACATCACAGTCAACACACACTTGAGCGTTGTACTGAACGCATTGGCCATTTTTTACATTTGAATCATTGTATTGAATGATTTGACAATGAAATAATTCCAGTCTGTTATCCCTGATAAACATCCCAAACCACACAATTTGATTGTCCCCAAGTATGAAGGAAAAGGCTGTATGAGCTTGTGTTTGTTGAAATACACCATTGTATACCTGGTCCTATCAAACATTAACGATTCATGCAAGCCACATCCATCAAACGTTTATGTACACAGAAGCCTTGAACACTTTGATAAAATACAAACATAAAATCCCCCTGCACACCCACTCATAATTGTTAAATCTAATTTAATAACGTATTCATCATAACCATAATGAATCTAATTATTGAAGGTGTCAATGTGAAGACTGATGTTCTGATGATCAATCTCAATCAATGATTCAGTTACCCTGAACAAAAAACCCTGATTCTATCTGCCAAACTTCCAACCACATTGACAGCAGCCAGTGATCAGCACCACGTTTCTCCACCCACCTTGTCCTTGTTTTCCTTGGCTTCATGTTTAAACCTCTGCAGTGTTCCAAGGAGGAGGCCGAACATCCTCTTGTTTCTGAAAGCAGAAGAATCAAACACTGGTATTTCACACGCCAGCTACAAGCACACATCTCACAGGACACAGCAGCATAGAGGGAGGGACAATGCCAATGCTGTTCAAGCTCTTAGTTTCTTTTTAGTCTACAGGATTTTGTTTTGTTTCTACAATATCTGTGGTCGATTAAACATCGTCTTCAAATGAGCATATCAGTGGTTGAAACAAAGCGTAAAGGATGAGGGAGACCACATGCAAAGATGAGAGATGTCCCAAGGATGTGGTCCTGGTCCTGTACCTGGCCATGCCCTGCCTGTCCTGGCTCTGCTCCTGCATCATGTCCCGTCGAGATCTCTTGGCTCCGGCTGCAGCTACAACAGCTGAGGCAATTGCGGGCTACAACACCATCATCAACACAAGGTTTATCACACATCCCAATACCTACGACCATGCTTAAGGGTTGAAGTCAAATATGAACAAGAGTAAAACATGCATAAAATCACTCAAAAGTTGTACAATCTTTGATCCTATGATGTCAACGTCATCTCAATTTATGTCACATGTACAAAACAAAAAACAAAACAAAAAACAAATGTCTCATAATGGTTGTCCACCCTGACCCCAAACTGACCTTGTCCCCACTGGATTCCCGACCAACTTTGTCCCCTGACCCTGGACCTCCGACTTACCTTGTCCTCTCCGTCGTCCTCCTCCCCGCTGTCCTCCTGCTGTCGACGCTGTGCCATCCCCACCGGCAGGCCCAGTCTGAGGACAAGAAACATGTTACAACACTGCGGCAGACTGAGGAGAATTTAATACAGCTTTGAACTGTATTTCAATCAAGTCACCTTAATATCATAGATAAGCCCAAAGCGATTCAGGTTTTAGATGTTTACCACTTTGGTGAAACCCATGGAAGTAGGATTGGCGCTGACAAACCACGAATAACAATGTCTGTGTATAATCGAGGCTGGACCAGACAATCCAGCAATTGGGATACGATGGCATGCATCAACCAAGTTAGCGAGCCTGACCACCCGATCCCTTTTGTTGCCTCTTCCAACAAGCATGGTCGCCTTTTACGATAAGCATGGGTTGCTGAAGACCTCTTCTAACCCGCATCTTCACGGGTCTATGAAGTCTTGTATCAACAACAACGATGGTACGATAGAACCCTGTATGTCACCACAGCCAGGTTATCTACATCAGTTTGATGTCAGAATGCAGCTTCAAGTGTCAAGTTGTCTTATGTCACAGCCTATCGACCTTGGTTGTTTTTAACTCCATCAAAATGATGGCAGCCTGTAAATAATCAAGTATGGACCAGCCAAACTGCTGACTGATGACATCTGCTGATTATGAGAACAATCCATACCATCAGGATATGATGACATGCTCTCTATATTGCTGACATAGCTTCTCTGTTCTCAAAATGTTGCTGGTACCTGGACAAGTCCAAATGACTTTTCAGTACCCAGTGCATGAAGCTAAACATGTTAATCCATTTGTCAGTTAAGTAGGCTAACCAGCCATGATGTTATTATTAACCAGTGCAAATCACTGCAGATTACTATTGGGACTAGTGCCACTTTCATAGTTTGCTACGACAATGTCGGAAAACCATTATTCCTTAATAGTTCCAACCTGGCAAAAGCTCCTCCAAGACCTCTTCTTTTTGCCGCTGGGCCATCGTCAGATCGACGCCTGAAACAGATGAATATTGTACAAGTTAAAACATTGAACATGTTATGAAAACCACACTAGCTGGATACAACTGACATCAGGGTAGTTTGCAATATGCCTTTACCTGCAAGTAACGAAATATGTCCCTTCTAGTACAAGTTTGTCCTATTACTACTTAAATCAGTATTATTAATATCATTTATTGCACAGAAAAGTGATCATTATAAGGGCGAATCTGGGATTTATCATAGGTTTCTGACAAGCCTAAGGGATGCAACTCTGCAGAGAATTGCAGTGTCTTTGACTGGGCCTAACGTGCACCCAGTACGAATGGAACTAAATATGTATTGTTCCTTCATTCAGCTATGATAACTCATCAGTTTTCTCACCGGACAAGGTTGGAGAACCTTCCTCGACCTCTTCCATCGGGACTTGCAAAGTCACGGCGACCAAAATTCCTGAAAAACAATTACAGAAAAAACACTGTCATTATGCATTTTAATCAAAATAATTATAAGAAATGGGCAGTGATAGAAACTAACAGTGTTAGTCCACTAGTCCCTATAATTACAACATACGGCAAAACTCTTGAAATTGACAAACTTCTACCAGTTAGTCCTTATGATATCTTAACCATTGGGCAGTTTGGTATGGTGAGAGAGTGAGTTGGGTTTAACGCCGCTTTTAACATTATTCCAGTTTTACCACAGCATGTCAGCTTAATGTTGGAGGAAAGCTCGAAGTGATGCAGGTTTCACGCCTTTACCACTTCGGTGAAACCCACGAGCACGGGTATGGTGCTGACAAACCTAGAAACATAATTGGGGCGAACCGGGATTCGAACTCACAATCATAGGTTCCGTGCCCCCAGTTTGGTAAGGACAATAGGACTAGTACCAATGTCTAATACTTATGTTTGTTTGTTTGTTGTTTAACGCTGCACTCAGCAATATTCCAGCTATATGACGGCTGTCTGTATATAATCGAGTCTGGACCAGACAGTCCAGCTATTGGGTGAGTGAGTGAGTGAGTTTAGTTTAACGCCGCTTTTAACAGTATTCCAGTTATATCGCGGCGAGCCAGCTATTAGGATACGATGACATGGATCAACCAAGTCAGCGAGTCTGACCACCCCATCCCATTGGTCGCCTCTTACGACAAGCATAGTCGCCTTTAACGGCAAGAATGGGTTGCTGAAGATCTATTCTACCCCAGATCTTCACGGGTCTCTAATGCTTATGGGTTTCACACATTGTACCTATGCTGGGAATCGAACCTTTGACCTGATGAGGGAAGACCTTAACCACTAAGCTAACCAATCACCCTGATTCAATGTTCAAGGAACATGTTGTAGCTACAGAAGTGATAACACCTAGATATTGATTTCATTCGAGCAAACCAGAAATAACTGACAATAATTCATTTGATAATATCTTATAACCATGATAATGTCCTATGGTGATAGATACACTATCAAGATGGTCAAAACATATGTGCCAAAACATGCTATACAATTCAGCACATTCCCTCTTGGGTATCACACTGTATGCGTTAATTGAAAAGTATATCCTTATTCAAGCAATCAATCCTGTTTTCAAATGTAATATACGCCAGTGATGGAGTCACACCACTTTCGGCATGTATTGCAATATTACAGTTATCATGGCCATGTTGATGGTGCCCTGTACATGCTGTAAATAATCAAGTCCAAACCAGACAGTGATTGATATTATGTGTAATAGCATTTAGTCCCTTCAATCTCATGTTGCTTGACTTGGAAACTTGTCATACAAAAACTATTTATATTGCAGCAATGGCTTCAAATTTTCACGCCTTTGTTATCAATTTCTACCAATATTTTTCCCAAAATCCATTGTCAATTGTGGAACCCAAGTCATTTGTGTCTGGTGCAGTTTCATGTTACCACTTTTTGACCTTGTAAACATTTCAGGTGAACATCTATGGCTTCAACTCGAGCATCACTCTCAGTAAGATCCCATAACCCATATTAAACCTGCTGCTAATCATAAGATATGCCTAACTGAGGGGTGAAAGGGGCAATATAGAAGATTGAAAACTCTACTATTCAACCAACAAAGCTGAATCATTGATAATAAACAAACAAAAAAGCCAAATGTCAGTCAAAATGGAACACAACGGACATCTGTGCACGGCAAACTGGGTTCTTTACAACTGCCTAGTCTAATAGATGATGTGTGAACATAAAAAGGTTTTTAGAATTAGGCCTGGTTTCAAGAGATTGGTCTGAGCCGGTTTGGGATTTTTTGTTGCCGTCACTCGGGCGTCAGTATTCTTCCTACACGTGGGTTGACATTACTAAATTATGCTTCATTGCACCTTTGTTCTTCTAGATCTCTTCCTGTCAGTTTCTTTATATTTTCATTTACATCTTTCAGTTTGTCTTTGGCTCGCAAAAGCTCTTCTTGCAAAGCATCGACTCCTTTCATTCCATCGGCCATTTTGAAGGAAAGCGTGAGTGATAACTTTAATACGGAAAATCCGAATGTTGATGCTAAGCTAAATAATGGAACTAGTTTTTTTCTAAAACGAAATATGAATGTACTGTATGTCGGAACAAGCCATCAAATCAAGCCTTAAGTTCAGGTTTGGTTGTGAAAATTATTGAGAGAGTAAAATAAAATATATTACGCATCATAATGAATTAATTAAATTATGTGCTTTTTTTAAAGGTATTGAATACTAAGGTATGGCATAAATTTGATGGTTTATTTTAAAGTCATAAATGAATTCTTTAAGTCTGAAAAAACAAGTGTTGAAACCAGAGACCATCTATTATATGGTCTCTGTTGAAACTTAGTAGAAAGTTATATTAGATCTGCCTTTTATTAACTCCCTTCCCCAACTTTACAGAAATTAATGACCCGTCCTTGAGACAATAAAATAGTTACGGTTTCTACCCTCCCATTATACTTGTCATATTTTAGATGACCCTTACCATCTACTTGTACATTTTTTTCATGACCCTCCCTGAAAACACAAAATGAAAAAGCATATTGTATTTGATGATAAACTGTCTATTTAATCATGACCCTCTCCGAATATGTGTATTATTTTTATGACCCTCGTATTTATTTAATAAATGACCAGCCATTTACATTTAATCTACTCGGCGAATGTTGTTGTTTTTTTTATTTCAGAAAGCTATTATCTTGTCAGCCGAAGTCCCAACACTGCTATGTGATGTGTGTTAAAATGAAAACATTGCTGACAGTCTTATAAATTAACAAACCTAGTCCGTTTGGAGAAAATGATCCAAAATTTATAGAAATCTTAAGAACCGGATGCCACCCCGGACCATAAAAAAATAACTTTTTATGAAATCTCAAAACGAAAGTAATATTATAGTAATATGGTAGCTTAGTCACAATTCGGATGACTAAACAGCTTTTCTTTTAGGTTTATATTAATAAGGATTACTGTTAATTCCAACTAACCATTATATATATGAGAATATTGCTGCGTGTAAAAATCATATTTCGTATCAAATCTGTAGTTCTACTTTTACAGAGGGGCGTCAATATGGCGACGATGGCAGACGAAGTGTTATTTGAGTTTCTTCACATGGAACTAGTGTCTCACATATACCGAACAGCCTCAAAAGATGAAAAGGTTACAAACCACAAATATACATTATATGCACATGCTTATAGCGAACATATGCAAATTCCAGAGCCTTGTATTAAACCTATGAAGAAGCAGAAACGAAGACCAATTCGGAAATATGTTGACACATTTGTATTTGTGTTTTCCTTTTGTCTTTAGCCAAGTGTAAAATCAACATTATCACTTCTCTGTATAGTTTGTGTAGCATATTCACTTTGCACTCAATGACTGTGTCTGTAAGGCCCAAAAGGCCGTTGTATAGGGTAGTACTGATCGCAAGGCAACTTTCTGTACACTGACAGGGACCGTGAACGAAATTAGAATATAAAATGTACCCAACGTGGCAATGTACGGTACTGAAGCCAGGATGAGTACATTCCAGAATGCAAAAAACAATGTTCCTTTGTAAACTTGCTTAGTTGGTTCCCTCATAGACTAGACTTTCTCACCAGTTTTGACCGTCTCCCACTTTTGCCAAGCATACACTACCAAGCTAGGGTACATTTGTGTCTTCCAATTTTGGTTGGGTACATTTAGGCAATATAGAAAGGTACCTGTTGTACACGTCTTTAGTACCCTATACAACAAGAACCCCTTCAGTATTAGTAAGAAATTCTTATTATCTTGAGGTGTCATGTATGAAGGTTGCATATATAATATATATATACCCTATTCAACAAGAACCCTTCAGTATTGGTAAGAAATTCTAATTATCTTGAGGTGTCATGTATGAAGGTTGCATACAGATAGCACCTAAACATGTTACTGGAAGTCATCAAGCAGTCATTACATGCTGTTCTACCCTATTAAGGTGCTGCAATTAGTTGTGCAAGTTTGTCCCTTAGGCCTTCTAGAACCCAATAATCGTGGGTTTGAATCACGGTCCATCCTGATTTTTCTGCTAGGTTCGTTAGAACCATTCCCGTTTAGGTTTCACAAAGTGCTATTCACTGGTAGTCCTCAAAGACCTGCATCACATCAGGGAGTCAGGCCCTGTGACTTGGTTGATTGTGTGTCATTGTCCCCCGACGGAATTGATCGTTGTTCACAATATTGATCTCTGGTTTTGTCTTGCTCCGATGTAATTATTTACAAGGCAGCCATCATATAGCTGGAATATTGCTGAGCACGCTGAGTGCAGTTTTGAAAAGAAACAGACAAAAGAACAACAAATATGACAACAGAGTTAATACATGTAATAATATGCCCTCATGACCAGTGAAACTGCCTACTGTCTGTGGGATGTCAAAGTCAAGTGCTTAAACCACCTTGATAATTATGCAGTTTCATTTGTTATCCACCAAGATGTTAAAAATCTATCCTTGAGTGATCCTAATAATTTTGAACTCCTAATATGTTGTTTGCCATGCCAAGAATGGGATAAAATGTCATTTAAACATGGAACCAAACACATTTCAAACCTTACAAATGTCTTTGGTGTGTAGCATAAATATGTTATATGTATTTCTCCTATGTTTAGGATCACTGCATTTCTAAACTGGAGTCACTTGGTTTTCGAGTTGGACAAAGTCTCATTGAAAGGTAAGATAGAGTACTCTTCACAGCCTGTGACTAATTTTCAAGTATACTTCTGTATGCTTGTCTACCACTACATCAAGCAAGGCTTTCTTTTTAGCATGTTTTAATAAAAACATTAGTATGACACTGATAACAAAACTCTGACAAATTTACTAGGTTAAAGCGTTTGCGAGACAAGCCCCCAGAAAGGATTGTGCTTGACATGCTTTAGACAACTAGGGTAGTTATTTACTAAACCATATTATAATTTTTCAGGTTCACTAAGGAGACATCCAGATTTAAGGATGAACTCGATACCATGAAGTTTATGTGTAAAGAATTCTGGAATGCCATATATAAGAAACAGGTGGATAATCTTCGTACAAATCATCAGGTGAGTGGACAGTTATGGCCAGCACTATAAACATGATAAAAGCAGTATAGTCTGGACAAGCAGCCATACATCTGTGCAATCCGGTACGTATCATGATACCGTGTTCACGATCCCGTGTTCACGATCCGATACATATCACGATACTTGTATGTGCTCTTATCTGTGGTTCGTAAGCCATCTTTTTTATAGATAGGATAGTCAAATACCTGGCACTTTGACGATTTACAGTTGGCAGTGTCAAGTATGGGGCAATGGATGAAAATATTTATTTTTTCACTGATAATTTTCACTACTAATTAGTGTTTGGTGTAACAGGCATTAAAGTAAATGTTTAAGGTATGAATCAATATTTTTTACTTAGTGTGGAACTGTGATCGATACTTGTATCAGGAAGTAAAATATCGCGATCCACCGATGCATCAGTGTATCGTCCCACCTCTATCATCATGATCATACATGCACATGCATACATATCGCTATATGTGAAATAATCTTGAAGTTGATGCTCAAACTCATTTCACCTCACCTATGGAGGATTGTTGTCTTTTCTGGCCTTCAGTATGTCATAACCAAACAGGACTTCTTGTCATTATGGTTTTTTGATCTTACAGGGAGTGTATGTGCTGCAGGATAATCGCTTTAAGTTCCTGACCCAGCTGTCTAATGGTAAACAGTACATGGAGGCAGCACCCAAAGTGAGTAGCCTTGTCATCATGGTTGCTTCAGTGGTTTGATGTTATGGTTGTCAGTGAGGAAAAAATATCAGCTGATTATTGTTCAACAAAGATAAAAGTCTGTGAAATAATGCTTGTGTCAAGGACAATATAATCATCCCTGCCCCACTTCGTGGGATATAGGAACGGAGTTCGTCCATCTGTCCTTCCCTTTCTCAGTGGGGACAAATTTTCTTAAAAACTATTCAAGTTTAACTATTTAAACTTTACACACTGATGTTACTGGTCAAGAGTTCAAAAATTGGTGTCTTAAATTCATTTTGCACGGAGTTATGGCCCTTGCCCCGTGCTTTTCAACTCAGTGCATACAGAGTGAAATAGGGACTGAAGTTACATGAATGAAAGTTTGCATGCTTATCTAAGGGATACTTATGAAGACTGCGTTCATAAGTTGGTGCAATAAATTATGTTTTTCCAGAGTTACCTCCCTTGCTACATGTTTTCAGATTTTGTGCATACACAGTTACGGCCCTTGATCCATGTTATGTTTTTGTTTGTTTGGTGCATAGAGCTGCAATAGTGAAAGTTTTCTCAGAAGCCACTGAAGTGACATTAATGAAATTTTGCAAGCTTATCTAACATTGTCTAAAGAATACATACCTTTCGTGTTATTCACATTTTTTACTTATCCTGCATAACTCCTCAATACATTCACTGCTTACCTTGCGACAAAGAAACAGAACAGCGTACCGACGATGGTCATGGGCGAAGAATTAATAAACTGTTCTAAGTCCCACTCCTCGCACCCACTGCCGCTGTCCTGTGACCTCTGTGACCCTAGGTCACCTCTTCACATCCCTGCCTGTTGCGCTACAGCATGGATGTGTACCAGCGGAGCTCTTGTTTTGGCTTTATGAGCTCACCAGGTCCGAAGGACACCATACCGTGGTGTCCGTCGTCCATCCGTCCTCCTTTCATCGTCCGTACGTCAACGACTTCTTCTTCTGAACCACGAATAGGAAATTAACTAAATTTGACTGGAAGCATCCCTAGGTGATGGGGATTCAAAATTGTACAAATGATGGGACTGATAGGGGTAATTTGGCTATATTGCTTTCTTTAAGCGACTTCTTCACTGGAACTTAGAGATAGATATCAACCATATTTGGTTTGAAGCATTCTCTGGTGGAGAGGATTCAAAATTGTACAAATGGTGGGGCTGACCCCCCAAAGGGGCTGAGGGGCGGGGCAAAATAGGAATAATTTGGCGTGATTGTTTTAAACGACTTCCTCTCTGGAACCATATTTGGTTGGAAACATTCTACAATGGTGGGGATTTAAATTGGAGAAATGGAGGGGATGTCGGGGCTAAAAAGAGTTTATAACTTGGACAAAGTTTAGATCCCCACCGTATAACCGTCTGTACAATTGAGAGTATAATGAGAGGAAGGCACATATGCTACCAGGACTGACCCTTCTGTTCATCCGTCCGGCACTCCCAAAGGAGTTTGAACCTTGACCATAGCATACAAACCGATATTATCCCAACCCTATAATAAACAGATACATTGTATACATTTGTTTGTTATGAAAAGAATAATACCTTTAATATGATTTATCCTGGAGCATAACATGGAAACGGTTCAGATTTTTATGTTACATTTTATCTAGAGAAATACATGTTCAAGCTGTCAGATTTGCCATCCACCCATTTTAAATGCTGACAGATTCAAAATATGGAATATATTTGCAGTATTATAGACGTGTACAATGCAAATGTATATTTTGTCATGATTGCGTAAATATGGGCCCCTTGTTTAGACCCTCCGTTTTTGTCTACAATTCTAAAATTCATCTGCGACGGGTGATGTATTCTTTTCATATTACTGTCACCATGTTGTGCAGTTTTATGTGATTTTTTTTAGGTGTAAAAGACTCTGTCTTTTTTTCCCCGCCATGTGCTGTTTGTTCAGCGCCATTTTGAATTGTGTTACAATTGTTTGCCTGCTAAGGTAGTCAATTTGTTTACAATTCTGGATAATCAACAAGTTAACTCCATCTTTTCGACTCCAGTTCATAGGAGACCTGTTCCAAACAGACCAGGACCTCCTATCAGTTCCAAGGGACAGATGGCACAAGATTTTACGCCTCCTGTCACCTGCTCTTTATCAACCACGCACCCTTCACCAATGGCAAGTGTTGTTAGGGTTACTCACCTCAGCCCAGGATCTACCAGTAGAGGCCAATTACAATTCAACAATTCAACAATTCCTGAACAGGAGTCAGGATCCACTCAAGGCCATTATTCTACCGGCTCATCTGAGGCCTTACCTCATTTGGTGGAGGGTAGAGTCGAATGTCTTAGGAGGAGTCTCTTTATCCGCGTTACCCCCGAATCTACACCTGTTCATAGATGCCTCCCTTCAGGGATGGGGTGCTTACCTGCAAGGCCAGACAGCCTCAGGGCTATGGTCAGGTGCTCATCGAAAGTGGCACATAAACAACTTGGAGTTGGAAGCCTTAATTCTGGCCAGATCACATTAGCAGAATCAGCTACAGTCAGCCCAACTCACAATATCCACAGCCAACAGCACTGTGGTGTGGTGTTTGCACAATCAGGGCACAACGCACTCCCACTCTCTACTTCAACAGACATTCAGATTTTTCCATCTTGTGGATCGCCTGCAACTACAGTTCATAGTTCAGCCCCGAATGTCGAAACACTCTGGCCGATGCCTTATCGTGTCCAGACAGGGTGGCACCCACCAAGTGGAAACTTCACATAGAACCGTTCCAGTTACTGCTTCAGAAGTTTGGGCAACCAAACATCGACCTGTTTGCAACTTGTCAAAATCACCAACTCATGACGTATGTCTCCCTGTTATCAGATCCGCAAGCTTGGGCGGTGGATACTTTCAGCATTCCTTGGGAAGGACTAAAAGCGTACACTTTTCCGTCACCAGTCTTACTTCCCAGTTCCCAGGGTAATACAAAAGATCAAGGAGACAAGGAGACTTGCTCTGTCTTTGGTTGCAACTTGGTGGCAGGCGAGAGGTTGGTTCGTCGAGGTCAGAAATCTAGCAGAAGACTATCAACTATCCCTCCCACAGTGGTCCAACCTACTTATCCACCCTCACAGCAAATTACCTCACCCAACACCAGACAGGTTTCGTCTTCATGCTTGGTTCGTCTTAAAAAGGCGTTAAGCACGCAAAGGGCTATTCTGCACGAGCAGCTAAAGCTATAACGTTAGCTCATCGTCCTTCTACCAGAGGTCTATACAATGACAAGTGGATTTTATTTGAAATGTTTTGCAAGGCACAAAGTTAAGACGATACTACTGCTTCATCACAGATTTAAGATGAATACCTCCTACATTTGCGTACCTAAAGACACTTGAAAGGTAGCACCATTACTTGCACTTACCTCAGTGTTGGCCGTTCCGAAAAATGACAAGATGGCTAAGGTCCTGAACTACAGGCCCTATTCAGGCTTGAGGATCAGAAGGCGAAGTTCTGCCCACCTGCGTGGGATTTGAATGTGGTACTTCTAGGTTTGCGAGGGCCCCCCCTTCGAACCCCTCTATGCATCTTCATTTTATGACCTCACCAAGAAAACAGTTTTTCTCTTGGCATTAGCCATGGCGGCACGGGTGAGCGAACTACATGCAATCAATATCACCTGGGTTCGTTTGAGCATGGTACGCATGGAGCGGTGCCTGGATTTTATTGGTAAGAATCAATTACCAGGCCAACCCGATCGTTCCTTCAACGTGGGAAGCGAAGATGAGGGTGGACTTCTATTATGTCCGGTACGGGAACTGCGAATTTTCATCCGCCGTTCCAAGACTAGGTGTAGTTCGAGGAAGCAGTTATTTATACCCGTGTCTATTACGTCCACGACCAAAGTTAGTCGCAACACCATATCTCTATGGTTACACGCAATCATTATTCAATAGCCAATTTGGATCTGCCAAGAGCGAATAATCCTCATGAGATCAGGGCGTTAGCCTCTACCATGGCTTTACACAGCAATTGTGCTATTAAAACAATCATGGAAGGATGTTTCTGGAGGTCCGACACAGTTTTCGTCAGTCATTATCTTCGCGATGTGACACTCGAGGACGTTGAAGGTGTATAGAGTTTTGGGCCGTTGGTTGTAGCCCAGCTGGTTACCAACCCTCGACGCAAATAATGAACTCGCCCTAAACAGAGCCATTCCAATTTCCGGTGCAGTCAATCAGATTTCACCAGTGGAAGAATATTAGACAATAGATTGTCTACAAGGCTCTATATTGTAGTAAGTAAAGATTTGGCTGATGAGCTATTTGTCTTTATTACTAAGATGTATGGGGAGCTACTCTTTAATTCCTATGTTCAATTGTTTTTCACATTGAAATAACTCTACCGTAATGGCGTTTTTCTGAACTTATCCACTTCACAGTTTAACGACCAATTGGTGTCATACCTTTAGGGTGTGAATTATTGAGGTTTCTGTATTTTGAGGGTTTCTCCACCTCAAAAACCATCCGATACAGATGCGTTAAGGAGTATTGCTGGATAAGTAAAAACTTATACTTGTCATGAAACGCGGAGCAATTGTCCTTTTGATAGACAACTGAACAAAAAGTACAGATTTTTATTCTGGCGATTAGGTGCCTCACTCTGGCATTGTGGGTTCCAATCCTGGATGAGACTCAGCCCCAGAAAGTACGAGAATCTGTACTTTACTAAGAAAGTGTTAACACAAACATAACATTTATTACATTTGACCACTTTCTAAATGTCACTATGTGTTCATATCAAGATATTAAAGATTTTGAGGATCCCTATATTCAGAAACTTGCTGCAAACCTTGTGACCCCCTTACTTTCCCACACTTTTTATTGATTTGTTTCATTGTGTTTCAGTACCTGGCCTTTCCCTGTGGGCTGATCCGAGGAGCTCTGTCTAACCTAGGAATCAACTGTATAGTCACTGCGGACGTCAGCGCTATGCCAGCATGTGAGTGTCTTAGCATGATCAGATGTCCTCTGATAATATCAATCAGCATGTTCAGTGATGTTTAGAATTACCGTAAACTATGGTTATAAAGAACACAAGGGGACCACTAATATTAGTTCGTAATAACCTTAGTTCGTTATAAGCATTTATATACGGCATATATACAACAAATGGCCGGAACTAAAAACAGGTTTGTTATATTGGTCAGTTTGTTATAAGCATGTTCGTTATAAACATAGTTTACTGTAAAAGTAGACACAATATATGGATAACAACTTCTTTAATGTCATCCGTCAACTTCTAAGTAATGCCTATCATACAATTCGTAGTTTACTGTATGTTGATTGTAAAAAGGGGAAGTGATGATTCTCATCTGAAAAGTCAGGAATCCAAATGTGGGAAATTATGCACCAAGAGATATACAGTCAAGTCCCGTTAATCCGACATTGTTCGTTGCATGTGATTATGTCGGATTAACGAGTATGTCGGATGAACGAAATGAGGTAGCATCAACGTTCGTGATCGAAAATTGGACAACTACATGATAGATAACGATTCAGACATGTTGTAATATAAAAAGGAAAAAGGAAATATTCATATTGTTGTGTTACATTGTAAGCGGAATATGTTTTCTAATCATGCAACCTCTAAAGTTTAACACAAAACTACTGTTACGGACTGTATGACTGATTCAAAACTACTTTCTAAAGCATAGTCTGGAATGGAAGTCGCCAATTTGAAACTAGTGCCGCAATGCTTAAGAACGTTGCTTTCTTAGTGGCTAATGTCGACTTCCTGTTAGTAATTTCATTGGTCAGTCAAAGTTCTCAAAGGTCGTTGTGACCTGTAATGAGATGTCCTCAGTGGTGTCCTCGTGTTTATTGTTAAGCAAGTTTATCTCTGCAGCCGTTGTAAAATGCAGCTACCAGCCGACTCTCAAAATACAGGGCTGTGTACTCGCGGACAGATACGCTGATCACTGTGTCGGATTAACAAGACTGATTAATGAGTGATTTCAGCAATTCGTTGCAAATTAGGTGTGTCGGAGTCGGATTAACGAGTGTTGGATTAAGGAGACTTGACTGTTTATTTAATTAAGGCATGATACCACATGCCAATTAACATAGTTAGCAGGCCATTGAAAGTAGCGTTGAAACACAGCAAGGTCACGATGGAGTATGTTTCACAATAAATAGGTAACAATAGGATGCATGTTGCGATACCCATATTTAAGTCAAATCGCGTGGAAACGTCTTGACTCTAATCTGTTAATTTTCCAGCGCAGGTTTAAAAGGGGTGGGGGGGGGGGGGGGTCATTAAACGAGGCGTAAGTAATTTATTTGAGCAAGTGCATGGTATTGTGTGGATGCAGAAATAAACATATCGTGTATCCTATCATCGCATGTAACCTCTAAATTTAACCAGCCTCAGAGGTTTTGTGTCAAATGAAACTTTCAGGTGTCATATCTGAAATAGAAACACAGCTGGGTTGTCCCCTCATTCACTGTCTCTTCTGATCCAGTCACTTCCATCTACTGCACAGGGTAAATAATTCAAAGGAATTGTCTCTTGTTTCAGGTAAATTCCAGATACAGATTCAAAGGGTCTGATGTGAAAAATAGGACACTGTGACAACAGTATAGCTGAAAAGGACACTGTGAGGAGTTTATGTGGTGGTGAAGGTGACCAGTGATGTCACAGCCTGCAGATCTCTACCAGGTCTTCTGGCAATCAGCATCATCATTGTGAAGCTGGTCTGTGGCAGCTTGAGGTTTCACTTCCGGTCATATATGTCCAGCTATTGATGAACTCAGTCTCAGATTTTGATCAGACCTATTTCAGATATTTGTGAGGTTAGTTGGTAACCTCTGAGATCAGTTTCGGCTGAATTCTTGATTTATGGTTGTTAGTGAATATGGTCTCAAGATCTGTGTCATGTGAGATGTGCTCCACAGTAAGAATTTATAAAGCTTGCATAAACAGGTATGCACGCACTTTATGGGACCTTCAGATTCTACAGTTAAACTCTTCCTGAGGCAAGGGAGATAACTGAGTGTGAAAGTCCAGTTTCCACCCTTGCCAAACTAGGCCGGAATTTCGAGGTTGATCGTAGCGCCACCAGTGGCTATTACGAGTTATTTCCCTTCTCTGTCTCTCCCATTGACCAATCAGATTCCACCTCATCTATAACTTGGGATTGTTTCAAACAAAAAGGTGGTGCCCAGTCAAGACCATCTGATCTTTATTCAAGATCTGTTTTGGAATACAAATGGCCTTACCTTGCGAAGTGCATCAAATGAGTTGTGCACCTTGATTGAAAACATGAAAAGATTTGCAAAATATCTGTCTACGCCCAGTTGGCGGTACACATGCTTTGCAAATCCTTCAGTCGACAGAAATCTGCAATCTATGTTGTTTGCGAACCGGATGTCTAGTTCGATACACTATTTTGATTGGACTATGCATGGACTTGTTAGTCCTGCCAAAATGTAACTCCGGAGTTTTGCAAAGGTGGAAACTGGACTTTTATAGTCAGTTAACTCCCTTGCCTGGTGCATCATATAATTTGACAAAATGTTTCGACAAGATGTGCCCTTATATCATCTTAATAGTGTTATGCTTTACCAGTTTCTACATTGAAGTGTTCTTTAATGCACATATGTAAATGTCAAAATACAGCACAGATCATAATATATAAATTTCATGTGAGAAAACAGTTCATGGCATATATTAGTTTGGTTTGAAAATTGTTATTTAATGTTTTAATTTTTACCAGTTGGTATGGTTGTGTTTTTGAAAGAGTTCACTTGTTTGTGTTATGTGAAAGAGCTTGATAAGCACTCTGAGTGAGTGAGTGAGTGAGTGAGTTGACAGTGGCTGACACTGTAAGGAAAGAAGAAACATTTGGGGGGGGGGGGGGGGGGGAGACACATGCTGTCGATGGTATACAAGAGGGCGCCAATACAGGTCACTATCAGTAAGGAATGGTGAGGGCACCCAGCAAATGTAAGATCAGGCAATCTTTGCTGAAGTTGTGAGGAACTGGGAACCCTGTCGCAACTGTGTTGAACTGGGCACACATACCCTTCATCCCTCTCTTCTCTCTGACTTTCATGCGTCTAATAGTTGCTCGTAGTTGAAGGTGTTTCAATTAATTCATTGCTAGGAATGAACACAGTGATTGTATATATTTCTCAGTGGTGCAATAAATGATGTATATAAGTTGTGACGCCCTCATGTTATGGATATACTCTTGCGTGGGAGAGGCATCATCAGTATTTACTCACTCTGTTGTCTGTTTGTTGTTTAACGCCACACTCAGCAATTTTCCAGCTATGTGACGGACGTCTGTAAATAAGTGAGTCTGGATAAGACTATCCAGAATCTTTTTGCAGAGTTGCATCCCTTGAGCACGCCAGAAACTTGGAATGTGATTAAATCATTAGTTTCACTGAAGTTACTAGTCTAAGACCTGCATCACTTGGGGCTTTCCTTTCACATTAGGCTGACAAACCGTGATATAACTGGCATATTGTTAAAAGCGGTGTTAAACACAACTCACTCACTCCAACTGACCTTCCGTCCGTCCATATTTTAACACTGGACTTAAAACATCCTCACCTAATTTAAACGAATTCACATATGATTTGCATAGTTGTTCTTCATGTCCTGGGTTACAACACTGTAGGGTTTCCGTGTCAACAATTATCTACTTTCATGGATAGTATGAAGCCAGTAAGAACCGGTGTCTTTCACCTGGTCAGGTGGTCAGATGGCCAGGTGAAGTAGTCCTCAATTAACGTGGCGTTCAAGCTTATTACACTTTTAGTGTGACGTGCATGCAGGCTTGTGAGTGTAGATGCCTTGACTAGTCCGGAATAATGTCCGTTTATAGTGCTGGCCCAATGAGACGCCATGTAGCAGTTTCACATTGATACCCCACTCAGACACAGTATACTGATCCAAGCAGACCAGTCCTTCTTGTGTCCTCTTATTGCCGAGCGCCATCTTTTAACGTCTTTTGGTATGATGTGGTCGGGAATCGAACCCCCGACCTGACAATCTCTGGACAGACGTTTTATTCACTAGACCGCCTCCGTGGTCTAGAAGGTAGAGCATCCGCCTGGAGAGCGGAAGGTCCGGGTTTCGATACCTGGCCGCGTAATACCAAAAATTAAGATGGTACCTATGGTTACCCTGCATTAAGGGGCTAAAAGAGGCCGGCTCGGAGTCAGTATTCTGTGTCTGAGTTGGGTATTCATGTTAAACTGCGGCATGGTATCTCCATGGGCTAGCACTATAAATCGAATTCGAAGTTCCTGGAATGTCTGTGGAACACGTGGTTGACGAAGGCGCCGATCCATCTCATCCCACATGTGCTCGATTAGTGAGAGATCAGGGGAGCGAGCCGGCCATGGGATGACATTCACGTTGTTTTGTTGAAGAGAATCAAAAAACAAAACTTTCCATGAACCTTAACGGGCGTAAAATATCTGTTGCTGGCGTTCTCTTACTTGAAAAAGACATTCTTAAAAGCATTGTGATTGATCGGCTCCTTTGTAGCCTACCAGTACACTCCCTGGGCTACAGATACCATGGTTGCGTGTTCGATTTTCGGGGATATAAAGAAAACATAAGTAATTTTATTTTGACATTTCATTACATTGTATTCAAATGCAAAAGAAAATTCAGCAAGAAACATTCACATTTGTAACAATTTGAACGGAAGTTGTAGTAATAAGTGAGTGAGTGAGTGAGTTAAAATTTTACATCGCATCGGCAATATTGCAGTCATATCGCGATGAGAACAAGGTAGTTTCTATAATTAAAGACCTGTCGACAAAGGACAGTAAAACAGCAAGGTAAATATCACAGTTTAGATATAAAACAAACCAAAGCAATAATAAAACAAAGAATTTTTAAACAGATTATTTCCTATAAATTAAAACCAGGCTATAGACCACTAGCAACCAAAGCTAGGCCACCTAACTGGGGATCATGAGGACTTAGTGCTTTTGCTTCCTGCATGATTCCCGGCAGGATTTATGCCATCACTTTGGTCACGAGTGGTTGTATGAATTGCTAACCAATATTAAAAATATACACGCACAATCAATACATTAAAGTGAGTGAGTGAGTGAGTATGGTTTTACACCGCTTTTAGCAATATTCCAGCAATATCACGGCGGGGGTCACCAGAAATGGGCCAATACATTACAACACTAGTTGATATTAAACACTTCTACAAAGATGAACTTACGTACCACTGTCAGGGGTACAATAATTTTACACTAGTTTAACCCCCTGAGTGGCACAGCCTCCAATAATCTCATTTGTTAATGATATCACACTAATTTAAAACATTTAAAAATTTATCAAATAATTCTATCTCTTTTAAAAAACTGAAAATTAAACGAGCATTTATATTTGTAAAAATATCCTTTAAAGAAGTTGAATGAATGTCCCATCTTTTCTGCATCTAACTACGAATTTATTCCTTGATGCCTTGTTTAAAATCACTGTAGGGTATGGTAAGATGGGACATTGGTTTATCAAGAGCTGCTTTAGCTGCAGCGTCAGCTCGTGTGTTACCAGCAATACCAACATGACTAGGCAACCAACAAAGGACGATGTCGTATTGGCCAGTAGCAAGATTATTATAAAGTTCTAAAATATCAAGAAATAACGGATGGTTCGAGTTGACTGTCTTAAGTGCCTGTAGGCATGATAAAGAATCGGAGAAAATGATGAAGTGTTTACATACAGATTGTTTCTGAATATATGTCAAGGCTGTGTGAATAGCCTTAGCTTCAACAGTAAATATTGAGCTGGTAATCTGGTAATCTGGAACAAACAGTTTTTGAACCAATGATGATGGCTCTGGCAACTTTGCCGCCATCCTTGGATTCATCTGTGAAGATGGAGCGGTGAGAATTGTATTTAGAGCGTAACTGGACATATTCTTGCTGAAAGAATAACTGGTTTGTATCAGAATTCTTAAAATTGGTAAGTGTAAGATCTACTTCTGGTTTGACTAATTGCTAAGGAGGCGTGGGCAGTAATCGGTAGGGTGCAATAATATCAAGGTCAATATGAGCTGCTGTTGCATGGGGTCGTAATCTGATCCCCAGAGGTGGAACCAGCTTTGGTTTAGTTTGGAATACCTCCTCGTAGAGAGGATTAAAAATACAATTATATGCTGGACTGGACGGGTTCGATTTTAATGTTGTGATATACTGTAATGCAAGTTTTAAACGACGTTGTTTCAACGGAGGCTCATCAGCCTCTACATACAGACTATCGACAGGAGAGGTCCTGAAAGCTCCATGACAAAGCCTCAGACCCTGGTGATGAATTGAATCTAGTTTCTGTAAGTTACTTTTACAGGCTCCACCATAAATGATGGAACCGTAGTCCAATTTTGAGCGGATCAAAGATCTGTACAAATGGAGGAGGGTTGTCTGATCCCCACCCCATTTAGAGTGTGATACGACTTTTAGCAAGTCTAGTGCTTTCAGACACTTTGCCTTTAGATATTTTATATGTGGCAAAAATGTCAGGTGGCAGTCAACAATAAGCCTCAAGAACTTGGTCTCCTCAACTACCTTTATGGGTGTGTCAGATAGAAATAGTTCGGGGTCCTTGTGCTGTCTATATTTCCTGCAGAAGTGTGTACAATTAGTTTTTGTTTTAGAAAATTTAAAGCCGTTAGCAAGCGACCATTTCTGGATTTTATTGAGACACAACTGCAGTTGTCTCTTAATAGTGTACATGTTTTTCCCGGGACAAGAAATGTTAAAATCGTCCACAAATAACGACCCATCAACTGAATCATTCAAAACTTCAGAGAGACTGTTTATCTTGATACTAAATAATGTTAGAGACAAAATACTGCCTTGTGGGACACCCTGATCCTGATTAAAATGGTCAGACTGGGTTGAACCCACTCGGACTTGAAATTGTCTGTCCGTTAAAAACTGTGATATAAAATGAGCCAAACGGCCTCTTAAACCAAACCAAAATCATGTAGAGCCTTTAGAATGCCATGCTTCCAGGTAGTATCGTAGGCCTTCTCAAGATCGAAAAAGACTGACACTACATGTTGTTTGTTTACAATAGCATTTTTCACAAAGGATTCTAATCGTACTAAATTGTCGATAGAACTTCGATTTTTTCGGAAACCACATTGCATATTTGAAATTAGATTATTGGTTTCCAGATACCAAATTAATCTGTTATTCACCATTCGTTCCATGGTTTTACACACGCAGCTTGTTAAGGATATATAGGTCGATACTAAATAATGTTAGAGACAAAATACTGCCTTGTGGGACACCCTGATCGTGATTAAAATGGTCAGACTGGGTTGAACCCACTCGGACTTGAAATTGTCTGTCCGTTAAAAACTGTGATATAAAATGAGCCAAACGGCCTCTTAAACCAAACCAAAATCATGTAGAGCCTTTAGAATGCCATGCTTCCAGGTAGTATCGTAGGCCTTCTCAAGATCGAAAAAGACTGACACTACATGTTGTTTGTTTACAATAGCATTTTTCACAAAGGATTCTAATCGTACTAAATTGTCGATAGAACTTCGATTTTTTCGGAAACCACATTGCATATTTGAAATTAGATTATTGGTTTCCAGATACCAAATTAATCTGTTATTCACCATTCGTTCCATGGTTTTACACACGCAGCTTGTTAAGGATATATAGGTCGATAGTTAGAGGGATCTGTATGATCCCGGCCAGGCTTTGGTATTGGAACTACAATGGCATTATGCCATGAAGGAGGAAAATTCCCAGATATCCATATTTGATCAAATATATCTAAAAGTGTCTCCAGACATGATTCAGGTAAATGTTTTAAAAGCTGGTAGTGTATGTTATCAGCTCCCGTTGCTGTGTCATGAGCTTGCCCAAGGGCGGTATGTAGCTCATGTAATGAGAAGACTTCATTATAGTCTTCACCATTATCAGAAGTGAAATTTACTTTTATCTTTTCCTGTTGTTTCGTAATTTCTTTAAACTCCGGGACATAATTAGACGTTGAAGAATGTTTTGCTAACGTTTCTCCAAGCTAATTTGCAATATCAGTTTTATCTGTTAATAACGTTTCACCTTCCTTAAGATGGTGAACAGATGATTTTGAACCTTTGCCTTTTATTTTTTGTATCATGTTCCACACCTTGGATATGGGCGTGCGGGAATTTATTTTGGAGAC